TCAAAGCTTGCTGGGGACACAGATGGACTTGTTCAAGTCCAGGCAAGTCCTAGGCAAGGGTTGTGAAATCCTTTGTGTGGGGGACACAGATGGACAAGGGCAGGGGCAACGAGAGAGAGATGAGCTGCAGCTAAATCGCTGTGAAGTGTTCTTTTGTGGGGGCTTACCTCAGGATGATGGCCATCTCAGGGGGTACTCAATGTCTCTTGGTCAAGGCCCATCCTTGTCACATCAGCAGGAGAACAAGAAGGATAAAAGAGGAACCGAAAACCATGAGAACGGGTTTTCTGGCAACAGATTCCTCATGAAGAAGAACAGAGGATTTCTGACAACAGATTCCTCAGAAAGTGATGCCTGCATGCTGAAGTAGAAGAAGAGGTGTCTGACATCAGATTCCACACACTATGGAATTCCTGCATGCTGACAGACTCTCCTGGGCCTGTTGCCTGAGCACTGCTGCTGCCTCCTGGCCTGGCTCTGCAACTGCCTCCTGCTACCTGCTTGCTGCCCAAGGCTGCCATGCTGCTGCTTCCCCGCTGCTGCTTGTGCCTTCTGCCTTCAAACATTGTGAAACAGGACCGCTGCTGGATCCTGGTGCTGACTATCCCTGCTTTACGCAATTCTTGCTTCTTTCCTATCTTTTCTATCGCCCTCCTTCCCTTCCCCATCTCCCTGATTAGGATTTGTAATGAACTGGTTGGACCAACATATGAACCGTTGTTTCTTAATCTCACGCCGGGTACACAGATACTAAAAGAACTTCATCTCCCTCCTATAAATTGGAGCGAGACAAATAGATATGTAAATGTAAATAGAAACAGTGTAAGATGTACACTACTTTATTGAACATTCTTCGAGACTAACCTGACATTTTGCTAACTGATTTTCTAGAGGTAAATTCAACAGATAGCCTTTGTTAGGCCTGTAGAAAAGCATTAAGTGTTGTGTGAGGTGGAAAATTGCAGTTAAATGGAAAATTAGGACACTAAAAGTATGGTAAATAATTGGATAATAAGCTGAAAGCAAGTACTGTTGAAATATGCTCTATGAGATAGGAAGGAATATATTAGAATTCCTCAACAGATGCACTTGAATCTAGTATTAGTCAATATTTTTAATTAAGAAACTTGGCATCACAAGTAGTACTTTTTTGAAGGACAAGATAAGGCATTATTATCAGTTGAAGACAGGATTTGCGTGTTCAGAATACTAGAAGTAGGAGAGAATACTAAAATAGAAGAAATAAGAGAATACCAAAATAGGCTGAAGATGTGATGGTCCATAATGCAGTTTCACGTGCACGGAAACAGAACAATTTATTCTGTACGTTGGGAATATTTAATTTTGAAATGACTGCAAAAGGATGTCAGTGTGCTAATGGATTGATTGGCGAGGTGAATGTACTTTTAGGTTTGTCTAACAAGATACTTGCACTAGCAATAGAGAAGTATTTTTGCCATTCAGTAGGCTACGCAGTGAGACCTATGTAATCTTTTCTTGTGCTCAAAAAAAAAGAGTTCAAACTAGAATGAATGCAGAGAACTAGCAATGGTTTGAGGGAAACAAAGGGCTTAGCCTTTATTACTGAGATGAAAAGGCTAATGCTTGTGTTTAGGTTTTAAAATCTATGCTATACTTTCATAGGTAGAAAGATTGAAGCGGAAGGGGAGAAGAACTCTTTATTAAGATGAGACTGAGAAAAATGTGGATAAAGCAACATGTTAATTCCAATTAAATATCTAGGAATGTATTGAAATGTATCCATTCATGACTCTATATCTTTCCACTATTGTTTGATATCATAATGTAGGAAACAAAAATGTCTGTTACATTCTTTTTAATTTTGAGTATTGAAATATTTTCACAGCTATATTTTTATGGTAGTGTTCTGTATGTTAGATTGGTTGGCCTATTGTGCCATTGGAATGCCAGGTACTAGAGATGGATAATGCTATTTAAATCTTCTCAATAGTAATACCAACATAATGATTGTTCTAAGTGTTGCCCTGCTACTGAGCTGCTTTGAACTAAGGGCCAGAAGGAACCTGTGTTTGCTTGTGTGTTTTGGGGACTGAAACCTGGACCAGAAGGGCCTCAGATATTAGTGTGGCTTCATGTTACTGGGATTCTTTTCTTTACCTAAGCCTGTGTGCCCATGTTGGGTTCAGTTGTGTATCAGGTATTCCATCAATCCAGTACTTCTCCAGGGAAGAGGAGTATTGCAAAAAAGTATTGTAAAAATTGTATCGTTGTTACATTGTTGTCATCTATGGTGACTTTTTTTGTGGTTTTCTTTTGTTGTTGTTTTTTGTTTTTGTTTTTAATCATAAATTGTTTTGAAGAAACAGAATGTTTCGTGTTTCAGAATGAGGGGATTTACTGCAGGTTCATTTCCTAAGGAGGGGTATTTGTTGCTGGCTAGGCATGCAACAGAATAATGTAGTAGTAACTGGTAGAAAAATGGTAACAGCAAAGATAAAATAGAGTACAGGGAGAGAAACTAGTAATGAAAATGCATTCCTTAGTTATAACTCTAATAATAAAAATATGTTCCCTTAGTTTTATGTGTCTTTTTAACTTTCAGTCTTCTTAGCCACTCAATTCATTCTGAAGGCACAGTATATTTGTAAATCTTTCAATAAGTATCCATCAACAAAAGAAAATCATGGGTTTTTTTTCTTTCACGTGTGTGCATGGACATTGATTAGGAAATAATGAAAACAAAACAAATGTATTATCCTCTGTGATAGAGAATAGCAGCTATACTTCTTCCAAGTCTAATATTCTCTCAAGTTATTTAATGTTGTCTTTCCTCAGTATAATTGCCAACCACAGCATGATACACTGCATTTTTTTGCTAGTTTTTTTTCTTTTTTAATGAGTTTTACAAATTCTTCTTATATTTACCTGTAAAATATGATGGTAATAATGGAAAGTTTTCTTGTCCCTAACTCATCCTCAAATTTATTACTAATTCATATTGTATGTGTTCTGCATGGATTAGTAGGCTGTGCAAACGTTTTCCTGTTCTGCAGTTGTATGCCAGTGCATGCCTTGGTGCATGGCTGTGTGTTAAAATGATAGAATGCTAACGTTATGCTTCCTGTGATATCGAGCAGGAAAAAGAGAATTAGTCACTCACTGCTTGCTGAACTTGTTGTGAATGCTGTTGACTGCCTCTGGCAACAGAAGTTTGCATTTGCACACAGGTTTGTAGTAGAATTTTTGGCAGATGTAGGGCTTTCAGGGCTTTCACTGAAAAGCAGGAGTCAATGACGACAAACTGTAGAAGCAGAAAAAGGTTATTTTGGCTGAGCATATTCATGATATGTCTTCCCTGTTTTTTATTTTGAAATAAAATAGCATAACAGGAATAAAATAGTCACATATACTTGTTTTAGGCATACTTGATCAAATCCACTCTGCTCAAATAGAGCTCAACTCTACTGGACAAAGACCAGAATGGTAACGTGTGAAATCTGCCCTTCCACTCTTTAAGGCTGCTGTACCACATTTTGAAAAAAAAAAAAAAAATTTGTATACCCTGGCACTGGATTCTATGGGGATCTCTGAGATTCTTTGGCCCATCTCTACCGTACCATTATGGTGACAAATCAGTTCACAATTCTGAGCCTTAGGATATACAGAAATACTTCCATTCCTTACAATTGCTTCCACTTGTCCACATGGCTACAGTTTGTTTCTGTTGTTATTTCCATTGTTGGTTTTTTTGTTTGTTTTTTTTTTCCCAAGGGAAACGTAAAGGGACTAAGTTAGCATACAGGATTTGTGAAAGTATTATAACAGACTGGTACATGTTAATTTGCAGTTTGTTCCATAAGCAGAAGAATCCAAAGATATGACTTCTGTTGCTCTGTATGTCACCTGTGTACGTTGTCTATTAAAGCTTGATCAAATACTGCAGCTTAATCCTGAGTGGATGGAATTAGTACTATTAATACTATCAGTACTATTTCTCTCCCTTCCTGAACATTCTCTTTTCGTTGTATTTTTGGTTAATTAATATTTTAATTGTTAGTATATGAAACTGACAAAGCCTAGTGTTTTGGGGAACACGGAGAAACAGTTCACTCCTTTCTCTTTAGGTAAGCTGTGGAAAGAATGGAGATGTTTAAAACACACAAGTTTTTCTAACTTCAAATATTTTGCTTTAATGAGTTACTACTCCAGCTCTCTATTGCTGATTCTCCACTGAAACTTAACTGCTGAGAGTAATTTCAGAAAAAACCCAATGTGCTCAGTACTGAAGTGAAAGCATCAAAATATCTTATGTAGCATTTCAGCTTTGTGGGAGATAATCTTCAAGTAAGGGACAGAAGCAAATCAAGGCTCAGTTTGCAACAACTTCTTAATGATTGCATGATTATATTTTTAATTTTTGAAAGGTTTCCTTGATAACTTGAGAAACAGATACAAATTGTTTTTTTGGAGGAGGAATGCACCCTGTTATTAGGTGCAGGAGCATTTCTATATTATTTCTTCTGAAAACATAGTAAGTCCAGAGTGTTAAGTATTTGAAACGAATGTTACAAGGCTTCTTGTACCATCCATTCATCATGCACACAGTAGATCAAAACTCACATACAGATCTCTGTTTAAAATTGTAAGAAACAGTCTTTTTTTTTTTTTTACTCATTCAGATGAGCTCATTTTCTCTTTCTAAATCATGTCATGTTATTTTTCTTATTCTCATTTTGAAAATTGTAGTCTTTCTTGTATTTAGTTTTATTCCTTATCTGATATCTGTCTGTCTGCTGAAGCCATATCTAATGGTTTTATTTCAGTTGTAACGTGGTGAGCCAAGTCTTACACTCTACTACAAGAAAATATGAACTTGAATGTTTTGGTTTCCTAAAAATCTTAGAGTGTTGTTTATTGTGATAGAAGTGTACTGTTGTTGTGAGGCAACAGTAAAATATCAAAAGAGTACTGTCATTTTGCTTTGTAAACTGAAATTTCTCCTAATTTTTCTTTCCCAGGGAAACTATCGCTTCATGAAACTTTTACTGGCTCGAAGGGGGAACTGGATGCAGAAGGATTTAGAGGGTATGACGCCGTTACATTTAACTACACGTCACAAAAGCCCCAAATGTTTAGCTTTGCTGCTAAAGCACATGGCACCTGGAGAAGTGGATACCCAGGACAGAAACAAGGTAAAAAGTATTACTTATTTTAAGACAGTGTTTGTAGTGGGTTTAGAAATTGAAGTTGCAAAAGACAGTTGTGTGGAAAAAAGTATTTCAGTACTTTAAGAAAATTTTTCTGATTCTTTGAATTAGCAACAATCAGGGATATTATAGTGATCACCGTTAACAATATTAACATTTTCCCAATGATAATAATGTAAAATTTAGTTGTAGCTAGTTCACTGACACTTGTGTTCAGAGTACTTAGACTAATAGAGGAATGGAGACTTTGTAAGCATTCATAAAAAAAGCTGTCTTTCTACAATTTGTAAGTGATCTTGGAATTCATGCAAAAAATGTTCCCATCAGGCACTGATCTATCATTTGATTCAAATGTCAGTGCTCCAATCAAGTACTTCTATCACTTCATGATTAACATACCAATTTGGCAAGACTGGCTTTAGAAAGCATCGTCATACCATCATTTGTATCTCATGTGGTTTGTTTTTATTTTATCAAAAGAAGACTGGGCTTTCTAGCAGTTTCATTATGTAAACTCTGAAATCCTTATCTAATTCTATCATCAGGGAAGCAGAATAAGGCATCTGCAGGCTCCCCTTCCAACAAATGAATCTCCTGTCTTCTCCAGACAATAGAGTTGAAGCAGCCTGTGCCCTAGCAATCAGCTGTTTGCCTTCCAGGGTGTTCTAACATGTATCATGGAAACCCTGGCTGTAATTACAGCATTCAGTCTGGAGAGGTCATGCTGATTCCTGACCATGTTAATTAATTAACAAAAGCATCTGGAAACCAGCCAAAACCTCTTAGGGACCTTGCCTTTTGTTCTACAGATTTCCAAAGCAGTATTAAAGCATTGCCAGATTTTCCACAAAACGTAGAGCACTTTTATTCCAGTTCCTGTCATGAGTAGTCAAAGTAGCAAGGATGGAATTCAGGCTCTCTTGGGAACAGAGACCAACAGGTTCAACCCTGGTTGGCACGTAGCTTATTCGTTTCCCTTACTGCAACTATATGCATCAAGATTCTCAAATTTAATTCATGAAAATGTCAGAGAATAACTGTATTTTACATTTATTTCTGGGTAGGCAACTGGTTGAGAAGTAGATTGTGAGAGAAGCCAGTAAGGGAAAGCTGCTTTGGTTTGTTAGTAGTGAAACCTTTTTAGGCCCATATGCATTTGTCAGCTTTAGCTTTGCTTAAGAAATAGCGTGTGTTAACTTCTTTCAAACTTCTACTGCTAGAAGTTTTTAATTTCAAAATCTGACAGACTGCAATGGATTGAACATGCTATGGTGCTAGGCTATATGTCACTGTATGTGGTGTAAGTTTTCAAACTACTTCTTTCAGCCCCTCTAGTTATGTCTTAGGATGAGCTCTTTTTGAGTGAGCAACTGAGTAACAAAAATTTTCAATATCATACTATGTTACCATGGTACGAAAATAACAGCCTAAAGCAACAAACACAAAGAATAGGCTCCTTTTGCCTTCTTCCTTTACAGAGGTGTAAAGGCTAGGGTAATAAATTCACACATTATATCTTACTATTCAGGGATGCTAATATAGACACAAATGTCTTGCAGCAGTTAATCTCTCCAATTTCAAATCAAAGTGCTATGTAGTATTTTGCTGACATGTGAGGGTAAGGAAAAGAGGGGGAAATGAAATCTTTCTGCTTCTTATAACCCTAATGTATTTGGCAACTGGGAGGTATATGTCTGCTCAGTAGATTACGTATTAATATACTAACATTTGCTTTTGTAATGATGAATGTTGATAGCACATGTGAAAAACACTGAGTGTCAGGTATTAGCAATATGAGCATGAATTTAGTTGGTGTTTTATTGGACTGCTGATGGTCCATATAGATTAGATTCAGTTGTACTCAACCTGTGGAATTCTGAGTGATAAAGGACAATGTCAAAACCTCTGTTCAAAACTAATCAGTGTCCAGTGTCAGTATTCTGTGCCATCTTGCTCTAGCAGAAAATAATCTTTTGATATGCTTTTCCATTAATTTCTGTCATTCTGAGAAATATCTGAATTGAAGAAAACCTAATTAATCACTGCGGTGTGTAGTGCAGCTCTGTTATTGAGACCTGCTTCAAGACTGTTCTAACCTGGACATGATTGCTTAATACCAAGGTCCAGTATTTTCTCTAGGCCAGAAATTGCTGCACCTGATGACATTATCCTATTGGCTGGCTAAGTGCCATGTATAGTATCCTCTTGCCATAGCCAAAGCATCCTCATACAAAGCAATTAATTTTCCACCAGAAATACTTACATCTCAAGCATAAAAACTTCTCAAAGTGGTTATCATGTAAGATGGTATGTGCTTAGACTCAGGTCAAGCTTTAGCAAAGATCTTTGAGTAGCTAGCTACTCTTCACTTAAATAGATAGGACTCTTGTTCTTTTTAAAAGCCTGTGATTTTGAGTTGTCATTCACCCTAGGTACTGATGTTCCATTTACTGTCAATCCTTTTTACTGAAGTATAACAAATGATGGCTTGTTTACTGTTGTTTAAAGCTGATTTTACCTGGGATTAATGCTTATTATCTGCATAGAATATTCTCTACCAGACACCAGTATTGAGAGGCTGTTGCATACTAGAAAAAACACAGGACTCTTATCTTTATCCTACATTAAGTCTTTTTTCAATTCACTGATACTTGTGCAAATCATTTAATAACCTTCCTTCTGTAGTTTCCAGACATCTTGGAATTCAGCTCAGCTCAGAATTCCAAGGTAACTGGGATGGGCTTGTGGCTTATTCACATCATGTGCAGGAACACAAAAAATTGCAACCTGGGGTCTGTTCATCCTGGGGAAAAGAAGGCTGAGGGAGGGTGTGATTAATGTTTACAAATATCTGAAGGGAGATGGGAAGCAAGTGGATGAGGCCAGGCTCTTCTCAATGGTGTGTAGCAAAAGGACAAGGAGTAATGGCCTAAAACTCGAATGTAGGAAGTTCTGTACAAATGTGGAAGAACTTTGTGGTAAGGGTGGCAGAGCACTGGAGCAGGTTGCCCAGAGAGGTTGTGGAATCTCCTATGGAGAAGACCTGTCTGGATGCCTACTTTTGCAACCTATTGTAGGGTACCTGCTTTTACCAGGGGCTTGGACTTGATGATCTTTCAAATACCCTTTCAACCCCTGCAATTCTGTGATTTTCAGGTAATATATTTATGTCAACTGAAAACACAGTGGCAAATATACAAAAAAAAAAAAAATAAAAAATTCAGCAATCCTGAAACCTGTTCTCAAATTCTTTTATCAAAATAGAAGGGAAGACTGTGTATTTTTTGCTGTTCACAGAACTGTGTTTAGCCAGTGGATCAAAATGTACACTTTTTTATCTGCTGTAACTTGGGCAGGCACTGCATGGCACCCTCCCTGTGCCCTGGTTGCAGCTCAGCGTGAATAGCTTGCTGACATTTGACTGTTGCTGAACAGTGGGTGTTTTCCTGGGACCCAACTAGGCTGCTTGGTGTGGCAGAACCTCAGCTGGGGGTAGATGGCGTGGGACAGGGCCTGCGTTGCATTACTTGTTGGGCTGGGCCACATGCGGGTGGTGGGTTGGGCATGCATGGCTGAGGAGTTCTGCTAGACATCAAATTGACCACAAGCTAATAGTGCTACCTTGCAGCAAAGAAGGGCAAGCATCATCCTTGGTTGCATTCAGTAGAGGAGGTGATTCTTCCCTTCTTGGCACTAGAGATACCACATATAGCACAAGAGTACAAGAAGGCCACGAGCTTACTGGCGCAAATCCAGTGGAGAGCTGCAGAAGTGACTAATAGTTTAGAGCATCTGACAGAAAGGAGAGGCTGAATGAGGTGGGACTGTTTAGACTGAAAAATGCAAGGTTCAGAAGAGCTCTTACAGATGTACATAAATAGCTGGTGGGAGGAAGTAAAGAAAATGGAATGAGACCATGCTAAGTGTCAACTGTCAAATTGAAAGAGGCAATGCACACATTTTGATATTCAAGAAATACCAAAGTTGATATTTAAAAGTGGGAAAAGACATGTTTTGTTTTGTTTTTCCATCATGAGGGAGGTTAAAGGTGGAGCAGGTTGTCCAGAGAGGTCGTGAAGACATTCAGAATCTGACAGGACTGTGTTCTGAACCTGTTCTAGCTGGCCCTACTTTGAGCAGGAGAGCTGGGCTAGGTTATCTCTAGAGATCCCTTCCAACCTCAGATATTTTTTTAACTCTGTGAAAATATAACTAAATCATATTTCAAGTTCTAACAGACTTTGATTTTCATCTTCTATGTATTCTTTACCATGCTTGTAAAATGTGATCATTGTGTTCCAGCAAACTGCATTGCATTGGAGTGCCTACTACAATAACCCTGAGCACGTGAAACTTCTCATAAAACATGATTCAAATATTGGAATCCCAGATATTGAAGGAAAAATTCCACTTCACTGGGCAGCAAACAATAAGGATCCTAGTGCAATTCACACAGTGAAATGTATTCTGGTAAGAAAATCTATTGTATACCCTTTTGGTATTTATTACTTTTCTGTGATATAAATATTTATTGTTTTCTTGAGATGTTGCTTATGAGTCCACTGAAAAGTTAAATCATTTTCTGATACCTAGAAGTTAGTAAGAAACCATCTCAGATATTTTTGCCACGTTGAAGGATGTTTCTTCCATGTTGTATAAATTAGTATCTTTGCTCTAAATCGTGTGTTACCTATATTCTTCTGATCAGTTTCATATGTGTAACTATTCATTTTGAGAGTTTTTAACTTCTACTTAAAATGAACATAACACATTACTCATCTCAATTGCATGCTGAATTCTGTTATGTGTCTTATCATCATTTGGAAGTTTATTTTTTGTTAACTACTGTAATACCAAATTTTGTCTTTTGAGTTAGTATTCTAGGAAATAGTTGATAAGTGATCAGTCAGCTGTTGGTCAGTTCATTTGAGAAACTTTCCAAATATTTTTTCTGTTCATATTTAATAATTCTTCTTTGATACCATATTTTCTTTCTGATTTCACTTCCTTAGTTGACAGCTGTAATGAGTACATTGAAATCATGCCCTTAGCTTGATTTCAACCTTCATTTTTTGTTCCATGTAAATCTCTAAACTTCACTAACCTGAAAAGATGCAGAAGTCTCAGTTTAATTTTCACTCAATATAACAATCTCTCTACACCTCTGCCTTTCAGAGGTTTTTCAGAACAAGGCACATTGGTTGTAGGCTAACTATGACTTCTGTTTGATTACATTGCAAGTTGAGAAGTTACCCCTGGCATGTGAAAATATGCGGATTCTTACCTAAATCACATTGATAATCTTTGCTGATATGCTTTACAATAAAAATAGTTTTTGAAAAATTCCCAGTGTTTTATTAATGTGATTTCTGTATTACTTGTGTTTATTCAAAATATTTGTAATTTCACTCTAAATTGTTACAAACAAGATTAAACCAATTTTAATTTATATATCCCATCTTATTATTCTGCTACACTAGGAAAATGAGTTTGTTGAAAAGCTGGTATGGATTGCTGGATTAAAATATAGACTTTCAAACTTTACATGATCAAGAACATGGTGTAGTGGACAACATTGGTGGTAGGTGGGCAGTTGGACTAGTTAATCATTGAGGTCTTTTCCAGCCTTAATGATTCTGTGATTCACATAACACAAATTGACCCCAGCCAATTATTGTGAGGACCCAGGCCCACACACAAACACTCACTTGCTTCTCTCCGATATGGCAGGGAGGAAATAGGAGGAAGGTGTACTAGGAAAATTCAGAAATATGTCATTTCCAAAAGGTGCTTTCAAAGTCTCTGTGTAAGTAATCCAGTGTCCTAACAGTGTCACGATTGTTTGGTGCTTTTTTTGTTTGTTTGTTTTCTCCTCTGACAGCCAAAATGGCGCATTCTTGTGTCCCTCTAGTCTTTTCCTATGCATTTCTGTAAGAACCAAATTGTTCATATTGCACTGTTATAACTATGTGTGCTTATTGGTGAGCATAAGATATTGCAAGTTAAATGAAAAAGCAGTTTAGCTCCCAGAATATGCTGTGAAAGTTGATGCTAAGGAAACGTTATTACTGGATAATCTGATGATCAGATTTGTTTTTAAGTATAAATACCTTTTCTTTTTGTGTGTGTGTGCTTCTGAATTTATCCCAATAGTAAAATTTTGTCATGTCTTAGAACTTGTTTTTCTTATCTATCTTTTTAGATACCTGCTTGGCAGTGTTAAGGCAACAAAACCAAAGCAGAGCTTATCTTGCCCTCCTTTCTTAGTTGCTTTTTATCATATTACCCAGTTCCAAATCTATTGCCCAAGCATTACCTTTGTTTCTCTTACTTCCCCATCCCAAACATCCAGGTTGACTCTGTAGACGTTCTAATTCTTTCTGCATGTTGTTTCTAACACATGCATCCATGCAGATAAAGTTTTTATTATTTTGTGTTTTAACTTACATAATGGCGTTTCTAAATTCACCAGAAGAGTTTTGTAGTGACAATAGTGCGAAAGATCTGTGAGTCTGACAAAGTCACTGTTGCCCTTCAGTTGTGCTGGCCTTTTTATTTTTGGTCATATCCAGCACAGACTTTGTGCTTTCTTGATAGAGTGCTATAAGCTACGTGCTCTTGCTCAGATAGAGGTCAAATATTGATATGTACTACCACTTAATGTGCATTGGAAGCATTTGTTGCTGTTGAACAAGTTATGAAAAATAACACTGCTGTTGTTTCTGTCATGTTATCTTAAACACTGTGGAAGAATTCCACAAAAATGATTTTCCTTTATCATCCTACTTAGAATTGTTCTATGCTGCTGCACAAAACCTTGTCAAAAGTTAAGCTGCTGGTTTTATTCAGACCACAGTGTGTGATACTGAAAAATACTGTCTTGGTTTTCTGTGCTCTGCCATCTGAATGTGTCCATTTGTTGTCTCCTGTTTTTAAATCCATAAAAGAATGGTCATTCTACCTCATGTTCACACAGTACTTACCCATTGGCATTGTAAGAATAATAATGAAAAGAGCTCAAGTCAATGCTAAATAAGAAAGTTTGGTTTACAGTGGTGGCAAAGAAGCACAATTGATTGCATCTAGTATCAGAATCCATGAAATACAGTGAAAATGGAACCACTTACGTTTTACAGAAATTAAACGTGTGAAGTAGAGAGAAATTCTCATCTGGAGGTCCTCTCATGGTCAACTTCCTTTTCCACCTTTCCAGATTCAGCAGTGCTTGGTTACATGAAAAACCTTGGGAAGATTTAAGGAGAAAAGAACAGGATATAGTTCCATTAATATGATGGAAGCAACTGCTTAGTTCTCTGTCTCTGTTTTGTATCTCTTCTCTTTGTTTATTCTTCATGGTAAGAGACATGACATTTATTTATACAACACTTTCCATTGTTGCCTGCAATTCCATTGTTCTAATTGCTACGGAAAAAAATGTGTAGCTTCTGTTTCTTCTGTGTACTGTGCTTAAAATATTAATGATGTATGACAGTTCAGTTATAGCTGGTTCTACAGCAGAAGCACTTACAGTACAAAGAAATTATGCTCTTCAGTGTGGGGAAGAAGTTCCCTACAAAATTTTAGCCAAGTAGCCAAAAATTTGAAAACATGAGTACTTCTAAACTGGAATGTAAACAGTGACTTGATCATTAAGAGATTCTATTTTCTTTTGAAAAAGTGATGCTATGGACCATTGGATATGTTTGTAAAATGTCAGTCACTTTCAGCCAAGAGGATTCATTTATTTGGCCTTTTGCTTTGGAAGGTTCAAAATTAAGCTTTCTAGTTTATGTCAATAAATAACAGGTGAAGAGAAGAATAATTCTTATCTCTTGCCCATTTTGTTCAGACAGATTTTCTTCTGGTGCAGGTTAGATCTTGGGTATATCATTTGATTTTAGTGATTCTTAAAAGTGATTCTCAAATATCATTTCTGATTTTCCAGCAGTGGGTTCTACACTCCCTCTGCTGAGCAGTTTAAATAGACAGAAATGAAGCCTAGTGACAGCTTGCTTCTGAGCACTACTAAAGCTAGGGAAGAGCATTCCACTGTAATGACTCAGAAAAATGCAGTTGAATGCTTATTAGAATAAGCGATATTCATGCTTTGATTACTGTGGTTTTTCCATGTAACAACTTCGAGTTTATTTTTAATTAGAGATTCATATTTATCAACTTCTGTGTTTTTAATAGATCATCTGTTATTGTACTAGCTGCTAGATATAGTAATGAATGACAATATGTTTCAAGTAGCATAATTTTTTTGGTCTAGTAACCATGGCTAATACTACTGATATAAAAATGGCATCCGGTATTCTAGGTGTGTAAGATTGAGAGCACAAATATCGGTTAAATATAATATAGAAAATATATGATGTTTCACCTCAGAAAATTAAATATTAGGAAGTCTAAGTTGACGTTTTCAAAAAACTAAGATGCAAAGAACCAGGGCACTGCAGATGAAATTCCTTCTGCAGTATTAATGTAGCCAGATGGCACTTAAGAAATATGATTGAATTTATTTTTATCTATTAAATAGAAAATATAGAATGTACAGCCTTGTAGATTAATATTGTGGTAGAAATCATATCCTGACTTTCTGCTGCTTGATTTAATGTTCTCAGTGTTTGGTGTTAGTTTTGTGTAATGCTTACTGCATTTCAAATAATGCAAATACAAGTAATTTTACGATGTAGCTGTGTACCTCATAAAGTCTATAGGAAAAATTTCAATTATTTTAAAGAGAAAGGGATCAGGAACTTACTTTGTTTTGTTAACAAGCTGCTGATCACAATCTCTCCCTCCTTTTCCATATATTATGGAATATAGTGTGGCACATTATTTTCAGGATGATCATTTTTCTTGGTTGTCATGGTTCAAAACCCATTCTACTGTTAGAAGTCATTATAGTGTAAAAATCTCAAGACTCTCTTTCTTTTTTGCACAAGATTTGCACATGACTTCAGTGCATTGTTTTGAATCATTGGAAATAGAACAGCAGATATAGACCCTGTAGTTTATTTAAGCTCTTATTTTGACATCTTTCTTCTAGATGTTTGGTGCCCTGCATCTTGAGTTTCTGTTGATTGGCTTACTGCTTTCTCTTGAGCTACTGCTTTCTTTTCTGGAAGATGAAGTTTGGAGTTATTTTTTTGTGGGGCTGTATCATGTGGAGATCTCTTTCACCATTTGGAGATCTCTGCAGCACTGAAATAATGATAGTTTGAATCTGCTCTTTTGTCTGAGAAAGAAATTCATGAAGAGCGATCTGTGTAGAAAAAAAGCTGATGAAAAGGAATCATCGTACTATAAATCTATGTACTATGGGGGCTTATGTGAAAGAAATGTAGCATATTTTTTAATAAAATGTGATGAGAATTGACAGTATATCTATTAATTGCTATGTTACATACTCCAATAAATAATCATGGTACTTTTAAAGATTTTATGTTTGAAATTAAACTCGTTATAAGTAGATATGTTTGTTTGAAGTTCTCTCTTATCCTGTCAGCTTGACATTTCTGGAGGAAATACTCTGATAGTCACATGGTTTTAAAATGCTAGGAAAAGTAATATAATGAAAGCTATAAGACTAATTTGTGCTAAAAGGAGAGTATCATAGGAGAAAAGTATGTTGACAGGTATGTTGTGTTCGATTTAGAAAATTAAGTTAAGAAGATGTAGTTATTTTCACAGGAGTCTGAGATAATCTTTTAAGGATCTATGTAAAAAGTCACTTGCATTACAGATTGACAAAACCGTAGTTTATAAAGTTATATTCTACTGAACAAGGACAGTTTATTTCTGTGAGAGTCCAGAAATATCTGTGAAGAGCATACAGTTTTTCTCTTTGCCTTGAGTACTTTTTGAATTTTGTATTTTTATTTTTTCTTAAAGGAAGCTGCACCTACAGAATCTCTGCTTAACTGGCAAGACTATGAAGGACGAACTCCACTTCATTTTGCTGTTGCTGATGGGAATGTGGCAGTTGTTGATGTCCTGACCTCCTACGCAGGCTGCAATGTGACATCATATGACAACTTGTTTCGAACTCCTCTTCACTGGGCTGCCTTACTTGGTAAACTGGACAATGCCAAAGTCATTTAATAATTCATTGACTGCAGTATTTAATCTCTGTATCTGTTTTTTATTTAATTCCAGCATTTTATTATAATCTCTCAGAACAATAATACTCAGCTTCTGCTAGACCAGTACTAGAATTTTGTGTATAGAGTGTTATTTCAGCCTTAAATTCTCCAAAGCACTGTAAAATACATTATTTCAGCAAGCTATGTATACTCATGATATAAGAGAAGCTAGAGTATGTGAGATGTTCTTGCATGTAGCTTTGTTCATAGGTTTAGAAAAGAAATTTCTCTGGAAAATAGTACTGAAAAAAACCTGCTGCTCTAGAGCAGTAGTCTCTGAAGAGGAATGTGTGCCCAAGACAGTGTGTTGAAATGCATGAAGAAAACAGCCAAACTTACATTTCTTTTTTTATCTTAAAAAAGATAGGAGTTACACTTTACACTGTCTTCATGTCAGGACAGTCATGTACAGTTCAAAAGATGCCCTGAGGGAAGTGTTGCTGTTCCACAGTGCTGAGAGGCTGATTGTCATACAATTACTCATTCATTTGCTTTCAGCACATTGCAATGTATTGTGGTTTCTGTGTTCCCAGTGAAGTTGGTTTACAGGTTGTATTATCTAGTTTTTACCAAACAACCCCTCACAATCAGACAAGCGATTTAAAAAGATTCCTGAAAAGTAACTGCAGATCAAAGATAATGGTGATAGTGTCAATACAAGCAAACAAGAACATGGCAGAGCTTGTGCATCTCCTGCTGCTAGTACTCTTTATTAGCCACGTTATGAGGAAAAACAAAAATAATCATATGTGACTAAAAGTTGGCTCCAAAACTTAGAAATAATATTTAAGACTATTTGAAGTATGGATTGACATTATTGTTAACAATGATTCCTGCCCTGAATGCAAAAAAGAAATTAGCTAATAGTCATAGGAAGCTATGGTGGTTAACAAGACATTCAAAAGCTAAGCAACAAGAACATGAAAATAAACCTCTACAGTTTTTTCAACAGTGTTTCAAGTCATATGATAATCCACATACATAGTGCTTTACAAAATTTCACTAAACTTTACAAGAAAAATGCAAAGAATTAGGGAAGCACTCATTCTTCCTGCCTATGGTAAAAATGGCTGAAGTAATGCTTGGAAAACAGTATGGCATCAAACTGGAGTGCATTTCTTTGTCAACAAATGCTGTAGAAAACGTTGCTGAGGATTTGAAGAAACTGATATTAGAGTAAGGTACACAGTGTGGGAGGTTTGCAGTACAGTTGAATGAAATTACAGATGTTTCTGTCTCAGCTTATGGTATTTGCTAGATTCTGTTTCAGTAATGAAATTGACAGAGAGCTAATGTTTTTGTGAGCCACTAGAGGGAAGATGTACTGGAAAAGATGTATTTTCAACAGTAAATGATTTGATAAAAGCAGTGCTTATGGAAGAACTCTGTAATTACTTATAGTGGGGCTTTTTTGACTGGAATAAAAATTGATTTCAGGGTATAGTTGCACAGCTAGTATCACACATGAAATTCATTCACTGTATCATTTGTATACGTGCTGTAGTGGCAAAGAATTAGAAACCTGAAATGCACAAAGTAATGCAGAGTAACTCATCCATGCATTTAATTTTATAAAAACAAGACCTCCAAATAGTAAGAATGCTCTAAAATGCTTTCTGATGAGGTGGGAAGTGACCTTGAAGTTATTGTGGTTTTCTCCTCACAGAGTGCATAAGAGGCTTGTTGAACTATGATTTGCCAATACGAATAACCCATTTATTGTGCCTAATGACTTAGAATTCTGACTTATCATATCAGCCTTTTCTCCTTCAGTAAGATATTAAAAATCTTGAGTGGTAAAATAAATAAATAAATAGATCAGAGGATAATCTCATCAGCCTTAGCAAAAATTCTGGGGTTAAAATTACAAGATCTGCTGATTCTTGCTGAGACTGCATGCTCATTCCCGTTACTAACTCCTCGATTCTAGAGATTGTGTTTTCTTTCTTTGCATTACAATTCAATTGTTCAAAGACAATTTTTTGTTACACAATATGCTATGAAATTGGAAGAGTGCAGCTGAAGACCTCAGGAGAAAAAGTTAAATAGCTTGTCTTTAAACAGGCATAGTAAAGGGAGAAATATCGGTGTTTCATGTTATCGTAGAAAAAATCAAGTTGGAAGAGGTCTCAGAGCATCAAATCAAACCATCTGCTGTAGGAACTGTCAACTATGAAGCCAGACCAGATTGCTGAGGATATACGTAGGGCAAGTACTGAAAGCCTTTGATGATAGAGATTGCAAGAGTCTCCTTGGACAAGCTGTTCCATTGCTTGACTGTCATCAGGTGTAAAAAATCTCTCAGCCTTTCTGCACATGGTGCAGTTCCAGCCCTTTTCCCATCTTGATGGCCCTCTGATGAACTCACTCCAGTTTAAAAGCTCATTTCTTGTACTGGGAAGCTCAAAAATAGGCATAGTATTATGAATATCTTTGTGATTCTCTTGCTGGATTCAGGCTAATTTGTCAATGTCTTTCCTGGGTCAGCAGGCCAAAACTTCCAGATACAAGTACTCAGTAGAGGGCAACAATCAACTTCTCTCAACATGCTGGCTGTGTTCTCATTAACAGCCCAGTTGTGATTGTCCTAACCATTCATTGGGGCTGACTGCTGTTCAGCTTGTCCACCAGGACGCCCAGATCCATTTCTGCCAAGGTCCTTTTTATCTAGTTGCTTCCCAGACTTGTATCACTGGCTGCATTATTATATTTCTTCAACATTAGAACAACATTCAACAACATTCAACGTGCTGTTGTAATGAAAAACAGATGAAAAGATCAGGTTTGACTTTGCGGGAAATCTTGCTCAATTCTTTAACTGGATGCAAAATCACTTTCTTGAGACAGTAAAGGAAGCACTACTGCAGAGGCAAAAAGTAATTGCAAATATTACCTCTAGCTCTTCCCGAAAAAATCCAGTTTGTTTTTTTTCCCTGTTTTATGCTATTGCTGGCTCTCACATAAAGTTTTTTTTTCCTGTTTAGATTACCAGCCTGACACTCAGATACGCTGTAAATTACGACTTTGCATATGTGAATTCTGTGCTGTTTGGTTTTACAGTTTACAAAACCATACGTTTGCAAAACAGCTAAAAATAAATATAAATAAAAGAAATGATATAGATATGAATAAATGAACTAATGAAAGCAAAATGCATAAAAAGACAGGCACAAAAATAATATCAGTTGAAAAACTGACTTCCTAGTTTCCATTCTTCTCAGTAGAAGAAGAAAAAATAGATTGTCTGCTAGATAAAAAGAAATAATCCAAGCACTCTCACTCATTTTAACAAACTTCTCCCCATGACCCTTTGGGATGCAACAGACAAAGAATGTCAATAAAAGAATCAAATTGCTCACTGGAGCAAGTTACTTTGCAGCTTCCGTGACAATATATACATAGTTTGATTATGGGTTTTGTTTTTTGGTTTATTGTTTTTATTGCTTTTTTCTTTTTTCTTTTTTTTTTTTTTTCTTTTTCTAAGGATGTTCTCAAATTTGCATTTGGATTCAAGTTGATATATTGAATTTTCTTGGGGAAATTGTGAAACATTGTAAGTGTCCTTGGGTTGGTCTCCCAAAGAAACAATCATTATTACTTGTTTCTGTCCAAGAAGCGAAATTTATTGTGTTTTGAAATTGATTGCATTTGAGAGGTTTTGTCTGTTGGAAAAACAGATTGTTTAATCGATGTGGGATAAAGGGGTAGGATGTGCCAAGACCACCAGGGTACTTTGTGAACTTCATGAGGTCTCTAGGTGGCATATGTCGGTGGGGAATTTCTCACTGATAAATCTTGATTAATTTTTAGCATTCTTTTTAAGGTGGATACAGAATTACTAATATAGATCTCAAAGAGTCTAGGATGTCATTAATTGATCTTAATAGTAGGATTTTTTAGATAGTGCAGGGTCACAGCTGCAACAACTACTCTGTAAAAGGTGGTGGGTTGCTCATGACTGGTTCACATGGCACTGCTGCTCTGGTTACTTTTGTCAGGGTACATGCAAGTGTCAGCCAAGTTACAGCTCTTCTAAATAAAAAATATTACAGAAATGATAGTTCTCGACTTCAAGAATTGAGTTATGATGTTTATCCATATGGTATGAGTTTGTTTACTATTGCACCAAGCACAATTTTTTTTTCAATTCCCTCAAGTCTTTCTTCTTACAGGTAGTTTAGGTAGACCTCCTGTGCAGATACTGATTTCAGTTGCCCTTTTTCTATTTGTGTCCTAAAAGTTCAGGCAACTTTTTTTCTTCATTCAGTAGTACTGTTGTGGTTTTACTGCTGAGAATGCATTCAGAACCAACTTCTTTCAGTGCTCCCGTTTCAGTTCAGTTCTTAGAGTATTGAGATGGGGAGAACATCACAGTATATTTCTTTTTAGTGTTTTTCTGGTAGGAAGGGACAGTGTTTTCACTCATCTTAATTACTCAGGGGAAGAACTTTTCTGTACGCCCTAACGCTGTTGGTTCCACATCTCTTGGAAAAATATAAGTTCCTGAATAGCTTTTCATCCTTTTTCACTGAGTTGACCATTTTCTCTCATTTATTCTACTTCGGTACGTATGTAATCTGAAAATGGCATTCCACAAAAGGTTTTACATATTAGATTTTTAAATGCTACATACTACATTTGTTACATAGCTACATTCTCTTACTGTCAGTGTTCTCATTACATAGCCTACTGCTAGTAGAAAGCTGTACCTTTTTCCTTTATTCAAATTTATGTCAACTGTGGAAAAGTAACAACCCGCAAAATAGACTATTTTGCTCTCACACAAGACTGAGAGTTGGAATATTTTTATGTGATTTATGCCTTATAGTATTGTATTTAAAATATTAAATTATTAATTTATTCTCTGAATGGATTATATGACTGAAAGAACATGTAAGAAAGGATCAGTTGATGTTAATGTTTATGTACTCCATTGTCTTGCATTTTTTTCTGTCTGTGAAGTGGATATAAAATTCAACCATGCTCCCCAAATTTTTTCAGTTTTAATCTATGGGCATTCAAATTTGTCTTAACGGAAGGAATTATGTGTATCAGTCTGTTGTTTATTGCAGATATGGCAGCTAGCAGCAGTCTATGCTTCAGATTCTGCTATAGACCTTCACTTGAAATTTTGTTGGAATAAAACCTGAATTAGGAATATACACTTGGATTATGGTCAAATAGTATCAGTCTTTACTGACTGTTCTACTTCTGATTGCCTGTCATTCAGACACAGCATCTTAGCTGAGTTATCTGAACTTTCTCTGCATTTATTCACCTAATTCAGTATAAACTTAATATTGCAGATTTCTGACCAGCTGCTGCTGGTTTCTTTGTTTAAGGAAGTGCTCTAATGCTTTCTTTTAAAAGAACAAAATATTTGTCACATGTTCCTATCTGTTTGTCATTCTGATTTACAGGTGCTCCTCAGAAATGAGGATGCAAAATGTGGAAATGGAACATTGTCAGGAAGAAGGTGCATGCCATGCTTAATAGTTCAAATATCTAGACATATGATTCTCTCTTAATTCTAGACCATTGTGGCTACAATACGAGCACTGTTTATTAAAGTCTATTCATTTTCTATTTTTTAATAGAGAAGTGTTTAGGGTTTAATAAATTCATGCTATTTTTGCATTTTCTCAGGTCATGCTCAGATTGTCCATCTCTTGTTAGAAAGAAATAAGGTTGGAACTATCCCTTCTGATAGCCAAGGTGCAACACCTCTGCATTATGCTGCACAGAGCAACTTTGCTGTAAGTATCACATACCCAAAATGGGAAGAAAATGTATTTTGATGAAATATCTACAATGTAATAAAGTGAGTTGGTTTTTGACAAGTCGTATAAACAGTGTCAGCAGAAGTTTAACTCAGACTTTTCCTAATAATGTGATATAAATGTTGTTAATTTCAAATTATTATATATAAATTTAAAGAGTAAATTGATTTACAAAGACTTTTTGCATATTTTTGCATCAGAGCACCCAATAATCACTTACATACTTTAATGGAATGGGATGACATCTACTATTTTGCAGTACATTTGCTTTTTAAGATTGTTCTTAGCAAAATCCAAACAGCCAAATTCTCATATTTTTGGTAGAAAATGTAGTTTTTGTCCATAGCCTAAGCCTTTCTATGATGTGGTAGAGTTAAGTCAAAGAAGCTAGGAGTTTTAACATTTTCTGTCTGTAGGTACTGTAGAGTAGTTCTCAGCCACTGGAACTTAAGAAGATTTCTTTTGTACTGCTCTGTTTCTCGTAGTGGAATTATGCCGTGCACAGTTAGAGCTCCAATACAAGTTTTCTTCAGTTGTATTATTCACATTCTCTTGTTACAAAAAGGATTATCTGGTGTCCAATTAATGTACTTATGTAGTAATGCAGCTTATATTGTACCATTTCCTTAACAGGGGTACTGATTTGGATCTTTCTTGCCTTCTGGCCTGTTAATTTTCAGAAAATTTTAGCATCTTGGAGAATCATTCCCTTTATGGGTACTACTGGGTACTACTTCAAAAGACAGCTGATCAGTGTGTACTGATAGCACGGCTCTCTGTGGAAAGGGGCCTTCCCTGTGAAACTAGGGGAGATTTTTTTTGTTGTTTATTTTTGTTTGAAGATGGTCTTAGTAGAAACCTGCAGAGCTTTTTGTTTGTTTTAAATTCAGACTTTATTGGAGCACATCTGTTGTGTGCGTTTTTACAGAATGTTTTATTGATGCTGATTATTGTCCATTATTAAAATGTGGTATGTAGAATTTGTGTCAGACTCACATGCCTGAAATATTTATCTTGTGAAAGCCTTTCTTTCAAGTCTGAGTCAGACTCTCAAACTGGGAATGATCTGTGGGAAACATAGCGATAATCCAGTGATTATCCTCTTCTGCTTTTATCTTTTTTTTTTTTTTTTTCTGTATTGGTACGTTCTTTATGAAATAATTTTTCCTACTGGCTTTCTTTTTCTGCGTTTGATTTAGTTGTATGAAACATTTTCATTATGTTGGTCCCTTTTGATCCCATCAGCCAGCCAAACTATGACATCTTTAGGTTTTAGGGGGAAGCAAAGGAGGTGCTGGAATCAGATATTCTTTTGTAATCTTGTGTGCTTACAATGAATTTACTGTTTTGCATCTTAGATGAAGAACAAAATAGGGGAGTCTCACTCCAAGTCTACAGGCCTCTTTGAACTGATGATGTGATCCCAGAACTGTTGCTTATGCATGCCTAAACTATGCCTGGAGCTTCTCTCTCTTTTTTCTTTTTTTTTTTTTAAACCACTGTGTTTTTTTCTGAGCATCAATATTTGCTGTATTTTTTCTACTAGATAAAAATTCTAGACTAGCTCCCACCACTGCTTTCCATATACAAAGTCGAGCAATTGAAAAGAGACTCATCCACGCTTGTTTTGGCGATAGCATCCATATGTTTATGGTTTCAGAGCCACATTAGTGTTCTGTTCCGACTGCACAAGTTTATAGAGGCATGGTTTGTTTCTCAGTTAAAATGAAATGTTTCTTTGTCCAAAAGAAGATTTGATCTTTTTTGCTTATTGTAAATTTTTTGGTAACTCTGTCTTTTACTGACTTCAATATCTTGATCTGTGTCCTCTTTTTCCTCAGGTTATGTACGCACTCTAATATGACCTCTTTGTTTTTTGGAGACCAGAGAAACTTAGCTGCCAGTTCGTCTAGGTGAAGCATTTTCAAGACTGACTTATTCTCACTTACTGTATAAGGAATAGCTCTAGAAGAAGGGTTTCTTAGTGTAAGACCCAAATAGGTTGCCCAAAGGTTAGGTAATCTGTGTAAATCCCACAAAAGGTCCAAACATTGTTTTTTAAATTTCTGAAATCCATGTATGAAGGCAGGTGCTTTAATTGTACTGATCTTGTGTGCAGAATGCAGAACTAAATTTTCTTCTTTGTTTTGAATTTTTATGGAGATGTCCACAATGATATGTATTTTGTTTTCACATACTTGTGTAGATTGACCTGGTAAGTGAATATGGATACCTATGTCTTATTTTTTGAACATATTGTTGATAGCAGAGGATGGAAGGATCCAGGTTTACTTATCTTCTTTGCTCTTGTTTTTCAGCTCTGCTGATTTTTATTTTGCTTTCTTCACATTTTCGAAATACATGTGTTTTTTTTTCATGTCAAAATGCATGTAAAATCAAAGTGATTGGATACTTACGTTTAATAATTTCTTAATGACCTGTTTCTTATTTCATTCCATTTTAGTTTTCAAGCTGTGTTAAATTCAGTTTGGAAAAGAACTCTTACAGCAGCATGGGATTTCTTCCACTTTTTTTTTTCCCCTTTAGAAATTATAGGAAAAGAAAAAAAAAAAGAAAGTGTAGCTAAGAGAAAGGTAGATTTGCTGAAATATAAAAATAAAATTACTTATTTCTATTTGTAAGATGTGCGCCTTGGTATTGAAAAGGTCCAGCCTTTTCATTTTGCAGGGTTTCAAGCTGTGCAGGGTTCTGGTAGTGTGCTGAGCTGTTGGTCTCATGAGTAGCCATTTGTGTTTGAGGTGTGATGGTGGTCAGTTAAAAAAGCTATAATATATGTGACTATTAATAGATGTGTGCCAGCTGTTACATATACAACACTTGTGAGCCATTAGATAAGAAAAACCTTTCCCTGGTTTTTCTTACAGCAGTGATTTCCTCCTTCCCTTTCTTGTGCAGTGTGGCTTCTTCAGAATTTATCAGAAGGTGGAGTGAATTTGTCTGCTGAGAGCTTAACACAAACATGACATTTGAAGAAATAATTCTTCAAATCAAGCTCTTTAAAGACTTTAGTTGTGATAATTATAGTAGAAAGCATAGACTCAAGTTTAAAGAATTTATGTATTTTACTTACAGCGTGTCAGTAATTGTTAACCTGATGATATCTTTAAATATTAGGAAATGTATTTGTTTCTTTTAAAGTTCTGTTTTGATTTGTTGGGCTTTTTGAATGGTTAAGAGTGGCAAACTAAAATATTTACTTGTGCAGTCATATTCAGATTTAAATAAAAAAAAATTGCAGCAGGAAAAGTATTTTGAAGAAAAAGTATTTTAGAATCATGGTATTATTACAGTAATATCTTGATAAGCCAATAATATTTTTCCCGTTTCCCATTACTTTCTTCACAGCAACTGCATTGTCTTTCACTTCCTTATGATGAACACATGATATTTGACACTAAAAAGAAAATAGATATATGCTAGCAGTTAGGGATGTGGCTATGAATGCTGAAGAGGAAAAGGGCATAGCAGCAGAAAATACAGTCCTCTTGTTGAGCAGATACTTTTATGTAAACATAAAAAGGAAAAATGAAAGCTATTATTTGTTTCATAGACAGCCGGATGAGACAACATTGTTTCTTGTTGTCACAGATTTCTTACAGTATTAATTCCAACAGTATGTCTTTTCAGGAAACAGTTGAAGTATTTTTGAAACATCCTTCTGTAAAAGATGACTCAGATCTTGAGGGAAGAACGTCCTTCATGTGGGCAGCTGGGAAAGGCAGTGACAACGTCATTAGGACTATGCTGGATTTGAAACTGGATATCGATATCAATATGACAGACAAATATGCTGGGACAGGTAAGATACTTTTCAATGAAAAGCCATTGAATGATTCCAGTTAGTGTGATTTTCACCAAATAAAACATGCTGGTAGCTTCTGTATTAATCTTTTCCTAGGGATGTTGCAGTGATGGTATATTCCAAACAAGAAGATAAAATGTTTAAGAGTTTTTCACTTTTCTCGCATATGGCTTCTATTATAATTTGAATTATATGAAATGGGAAATAAGTGCAATGTCAGAGTTTTCTGGTTCAGCATTTGAAAAATAGCAAGTATGACTATCACTTGCAATTTACAGTTTTTACTTCCTTTAATTATTAGGGTCTTTTACATCATCAATTTCAGTTCCTGTAAAATTCTGTTTATAAATCTGAGTTCTTTCCTTACAAGTGAACACACCTCAAATTAGTCTTTTCACATTATGACAGTTTTCTAAGTTGTGAGTTAAAAGGAAAAAAATACTGTGGCAAAAAAAAGTCTAAGATCTCTGTCTTTCTGTCTGATGGTTCTGTGGACTACATACTCAACCATTTTAGCGTTGTTTCATCTTTTATTAGTGCCACTTGTATTTGCTGCTTTGTGATAGGTCCCTGATAAATGCCTTTCTGTATTTCAGATCTTAAGTGCAGTAATGTGGCAGACAGTGTGCAGACCTCCTTATAAGGGAGTTGTTCTTTGCTAACAGTACTTGGAGACTTTCTGAAATTATTCAGGTGTGGTTTTCATGGTTGAATAACTCAGGTGGCTTTTATCTACCAGGGTTACACCTAGCAGTAATGCCTGATCACTTTCTAATCCTGATCTTGTTGTAGGACTCGAAGGCAGTTAATGGATGTTCCATGTACTTGAAGCTGCCACTGTATAGAGCACACTGTCTTAAAGTTCAGAGCTATGCTGTTCTTCACTTGCTATCAAACAGTCTGAATTTTACCACTATGCAAATGTGTGCAGCAGGGAGAGCTTTATCACAGCGAGCTGTAAACTTCAAAGGAAGCCCACCAGTAAATCACTTTCTAATTGCAGACCTGATTTTTTTTTTCTGAAGATTTGTAATCCTTCCTAGGTTTTGGTGGGGGAAGAGTAGCATTGTAATCTAACAGGAAACCATGGAGTAATAGAAAATAGTGTACATGGCTGTGCCCAGGCTGCAGTTGCTGAGGAGAGTTCAAGTTTGTGTTTTGCTGACTTTTGTGCTGAACTCAGTTAAGCTCAGTCATATTGTTGCATTAACGTAGCTTTTTGCATTTACTTAAAAAGAGCAAGTTCTTCATTCAGCTCAAGACTCTGCTTATTGTGTAGGAGAATGACACCAAGGGAAAGGAATTTCCCTGTTCGCAGAGATCAGCGCTGCAGGAGCATTACAGGGGCAGCTTTATAGCTCTGCCGTCACTGCATACAATGGTGAGGGCTCTGTCTGTCCGACGAACAAAGGTCCCATTGTGAGCAGCTGGCCGGGGAATCTCTTCAGTCACTGTGACTCCATCACAGAAAATTTGGCTTACAAGAAAATACTGAGCACAAAGTGCGAAACGAGATGCCTGCGTCAGAATGAGTGATAGAGGGGAAGAAGCAGCCAAGCTGACACAGCAGCTCTTTTTCTCTTGCATTGTTATACACACCCCATGTGTCATCAGATTGAGTGGTTTACTGCCTTTGCTTTCATAAGAAATGCAGTACAAAAACCAGAACCTAAAGTTTACGGTGAGGTCAGAACATGAAGACTAGGCCCATCCAAACACATAAAGCTGCAGGGACCTCGTTCTTGTCGAATTTCTACTTATAGCCTCCCACTCGCATAGCTAGTGCAGATCTTGCTGCTTACAGATTTTTCACAAGTGTGGGAAATTTTCATATGAGAGGTTTTTTTCCCATGATATCTGCAACAGATGAATATTAGGATCATTGTAAAGGCAGGATTTCAATTCTTAAGGCAGCACTAGTCATATTGTCTCAGGCCACAACCCCGTTGCTTGTAGGAAGTTCCTCATTTGTATTACAACTCCAGTCACTATTGTTGGAAATCAAAACTATAAGCCAGTATGAACAACCTACACTTTTTAGTAGCATCTGTGTGGCAGAATATGCTAGGCCACTGTTTTATAAGCTGTATGAAGTGGTGTCAGCAGTAAGCGGTGTTAGGCAATTACTGAAAGCGTGGTAGTTGGACATTCTGGGCATGGTTCTAGAAGTAATTCCTTCTAGTGTCTTCTAGTAAATCCTTTCTAGTGGTCTTTCTGTCCTATGCCTTTCTGTGCTGTGCCTCTGCTGGATCCTGACTGTGCCTGTTATAACTTGAAGCAAGAAGAGGGATGCAGGTACTGTGTACAGCCCCACATCTTGCTTGTCTGACCAGACTGAATAATGACCAAATTGGAGTGTTTGTGAAATTTCATGGGAAAATGAGAATGCACTGCACAAACTCGTGGAATCATGGAATGGTTTGGGTTGGAAGAGACCTTTAAGATCATCTAGTTCCAACCCCTCTGCTATGAAGTACATTTATGAATTGCACATTTTTGTATTTTTTTCTGCATACTTTGTACATTGTCATCTCTGAAGCAGTTTAAATGTTAAGGGGAGCACCTCTGAGAACATAGATCATTTTATTCAATTGCTAACTGTTGGAAATAATCCAAAGCATTTTGAAATCAATTTGTAACCAAAGTAAGTGTCCTCAATTTGTCTGAAATCTCATTGTTGTGTGTAGTTTGTCTTTCCTTCAGGAATTACCTGAGTTGGTTATAGAGGCATTTCTGCATTCTCCTCAACCACAGGCTGCAGTGCCAGCAGTTACTATCAGTTAGTAACTTCAGTCCTAAGACACTGTTTCTTTACCTCTGTGGTCTCTGTGTTATTTGTTGATTTAATTTTAGTGAAGTCTGCATGCATTTAGAGGTGAGAAGACAATAAGAAGAGTGGGATTCTGCAAAGACAACTTGCACAGTTTATATTCAATGGAACCTCATATGCTGTAGGGGTGGAAGGAAATGTGGTATGTTTAAGTTCCTTCTGGTACTTAAAGGGACATAAGCAGGATGGTAATCAAGTTTTCACATGAGTAGATAGTGATAGGACAAAGGGAAATGGCTTTAAACAGAAAGACAGGAGATGTAGGTTAGATGTTCAGAGGAGATTTTTTTAAGTGAGGGAGTGGTGAGGCACTGGCAAAGGCTGCCCAGAGAGGCTGTCATTCCCCATTCCTGGTGGTGGTCAAGGCCAGATTGGATGGAGCCCTGGGCAGCCTCATCCAGTGCCTTATATAGTGCTTGGCAATTCTGCCTGTGATGGGGAGGTGGATCTAGATGGTCTTTGAGGTCCCAAACCCAAGCCATTCTGTGATTCTGTGGTTTGTCCATCATTTTTTTTCCTGAATGAGCAAGGAGTTGCAGGTACTATGTGGAGATATGATGGCCTTCCTATATAGGTTTATGTAAAATTTTCACCCAGCAATTCTGGAAAATGAAAAAGAGGAGTGAAGAAAAACAGCTGGGTGGTTATCTGGAGTTTTAGTTTTAATTGAGACAGCTTTGCTTGTTTGAAAGAAAAAACGGCATTTTCAAAGAGTTCAAGAAATAATGGAAGCTTTCTTTCTCTGAAGTGGGCAGCTTCGTGTCCATTGGAGTAATACAGTAAGTGCCATGGAACAGAGGCAGAAATACTTCTTACTGTGATCTCTCAATTTTTTAAGCAAAAGCTGGTAACCTTACACAAATCATAAACATAAGCCAGTCCTGCTACTGATAAGGTTGAAATTCACATTTCTGCAAGTAAAAAACATGTCTCAGAGCTAACATTATTTTCTGCTTCCTGTGCTGTAATGCTTGTGCTTAAGGAAATGTGGTTTCAAGACTGCCTATCACTTGCTATGGTTCTTCAGCTGCTTGTTTTTCAAAAGCAGCTTTTTCTAACAAAATAATCAGAATTATCTTTTAATTTGATTGTTCTATGAACCTCCAGAGCTCACAATATTGTGCACTCATTTTCCTATTGCATTTTTCTTTCAGCATTACATGCTGCTGCACTTTCTGGCCATGTCAGCACAGTGAAATTGCTGTTGGAACGCAATGCACAGGTGGATGCTTTGGATGTCATGAAACACACTCCACTTTTCCGAGCCTGTGAGATGGGACACAAAGAAGTGATACAAACACTCATTAAAGGTCAGCTGTTAAAAAATTTACAAAACTCTTTGGATTTCTCATGTTCCTTTATGTAGGACTGTGAAATTAATAGCGTTGCTGAGCAAGAATGGGAGTAGAAAATTACTCCTCTAAAAAAAATTGTCTGTAAGTACCCTGTGAGGAACAGTATTAGAAAATAACTAGAGGTTTTTCAGAGCATTGAGCAGAAAGACTGGCAGAGTTAAATCTGAACTTTGAAAGCAGGGATAGTTCCTTGCACAACTCATTTCTGTCCAAGCTTGTTCAAGTATGTTCTAATCTCTCCAACTGCCACTTCCCCCAACAAGCCATTGTTTTGGGGGGTTTTTTCTTTTTCTTTTCTTTTTTTTTTTTTTTTTTTCCTGCCTTCAATGAATAAGTTCAAATTAAGCTTTCTTCTGAGACAAAGAATTTGTAGTCATCTTTGGAAATTTTTTGACTATTTAAATTCATGTTCATCTCTAAGGTACTTATCAAAACCCAAAATCATTAATATTTTCCCATGGTTGGTTTTTAGAAACAGTATTTTATTTGTAAATAGAAATAAGACCATGTGCATAGTTCTAAATAATTGTAGAAGCTCTAAACTGCAAGATACACAGCGAAATAGCGGTGGTAACTTAGGTGCAAAGTTCTTTCATTTTAATCACACAGAAAAGTTCTGCATGGACTGGAAGCAGTCTCTCTACTTGAGATATTTACCCAATTGTTGTCTGAAGTATGTAGACTCACTAATTACACATTTTCTGTAAAATAACCTTTATTAGTGAAGGTTACTTCCCTCTGTTCTTCGCTGGACAAATTTTAATGCCTTGCTAAGCTCTTACTCTAACCCCCTGTGGGGTTTAGTTTTTATGAATACGTAAGTTTGTGTGACCAGAATCTGACTTACAATTGATTAAACTTTTTTATGATATAAACAGCCATTCTTGATGGTTAATTAGAATTTAAGCAATTGTGGAGGTTTCTTTTTGTGATGAGTTTTTGCATCATATCACACAGAAATTATCTGCAAAGAAGATCTTCAGCATGCTTGGAATAAAAAAAAATAGAAAAAACTTTTTTCAAAAATCATTCTTACCTTGTGAGTATTTGATCTCCTCTGTTTTAGAGGTTTAAAAAGAGGTTATGTCTTAGTCTGATTTTCAGAAGTGATTTTGTCATTAAGAAATTTTCACTTAAAATTAATAGGCCTGAAACAAGTAACATCTAGATTTTCCAAGGCTATTTGACGGATGTGAAGTTTCCAAAGTACCCGAGAGGATGTTTAAGATTTTCTGAAGTTGCTGACCCTGACTGAAATTATCTCATTGCCATTTCAACTTGATTTAAGTAATAACATGGATGTTGCATTCTGAAGTACTTCTCTGAATTGTCAATTTGCCAAAGAAGTTATATTTGAACATAAACTTATTCTTTGCTTTCTCTTAATTCAAAAATGTGTTTGTTGTTATAGGAGGAGCAAGAGTAGATTTGGTTGATCAAGATGGCCATTCACCCCTTCACTGGGCAGCCCTGGGAGGAAATGCTGATGTGTGCCAAATCCTGATAGAAAATAAAATCAACCCTAATGTGCAGGATTATGCAGGTAGAACACCTCTGCAGTGTGCTGCATATGGAGGTTACATCAACTGCATGGTAGTGTTACTGGAAAATAATGCAGATCCAAATATTCAGGATAAAGAGGTATGTTGTCCTTCACTGGGCAATTCATTAAGTAAGTTTAAAATAACTCTAAACATAAAGGTCATCCTGTTTTGTGGGTCGCTGAAACATCTTCTCTGCCTATTATCGTGACAGGAGATGTATCCTGGCATAATTTTCCCTGTCTTCACTTCTAAACTCTTGAATGAAAAAATAATGGTGTAATATTCAGCATGAAATGGAGGCACATCTTTTTCCTTTATCATTTTTTGTCTTTGCCTTATCAAAGTGTGATCTTACGAGGAGTCATTTTAAGCATCTGATTTTTTAACTTGTATGGTTCCTTATTAACAATTGATATGGGAATGTGATTTTATAGTTTACAGTGTGTTTCTTCAGCATGTGTTAGCAAGATAGAACAAGAAAAATATTGCAAGTGAGATTGCAGAAGAACTTCTTCAATTATTTATCTGTATACAGCTCTTCTTGATGGGAAAAAAAAAAGAACACCGGTTTGTTTAAATGTTCTTTTGTGTCATTTTTCAAACAGTAAGTGAAATTAGGAGCCAGGATAATTGTGCAACATATAACAGATTTCTTTGTTACTTGACATGATTTCTCTGAAGTCAATAGAACTCAAAGAGTCAAAATAGTTTCACACAAACTGTTAAATTTTTCTCTAGCTATTCATTGTAGGGCATGAATAATTCTAGGTAATTGAGAAGTGTTATTTATTATGGGTTCTCCTGAGTACACTGCAAACATTTTCTAAATCTACTACCAGCTTCACGTGGCATCAACTTGAACAGTTGAGTTCAGTAGGTGATGTCAGCTTCAGACCTCCTTATTTCACACAGATATTGCATCATAATCTTCAGCACTTGGAGTTCAAGATGATGCAGCTTGTTAGCACTGAACTCAGAACTTCTTTGTGTTATTATGCGGTATCCAGATTTCTAACTGTTTGTTAAATAGGGAGTTGAAAAAAGCAAGATGCAGATATAGGAAGTTCACTTCATTGAAGTGAAGTGGAGTACCTGTGTGTTGTTGATATTAACAGACCTTTAAGTATTCACAGTGCAGGTACCAGCCAGGAGCTGGCTGTATAGAGTTCAGCTGCTGTAGTGAGTATTGTGGGCTGGAGTCATTCTGCGTTTGTCTGAGCAGATAAGCTTTCCTCAGACTTCATCAGAGTTTGATCTCCTTAATAATTCTCTGTCTTACTGCAGTATTTTGGACCAGCCTAGAAAACAGTCTGAATGACAAAAATTGTTGAGAGCTTCTTCAGAGCAAGGGCAGCATAACTCCACAGAAATACACTCTAGAGCTAGTTTCCTAATGCTATTTTTCAGCCGCTTTAGATGGAAGAGCTCTAATGTTGTAATGTAGTTTAAAAAGAAAAAGATAACTGATTTCATTTTTAAGTGATGTACTCTTTTATTTTAACAAGGGAGTTGTTTTAGAAGAATCAATTTGTCCTTTGTGTCCAGAAAAGCATCAAGTTACACTATGATTTCCAACTGTTATTGTGGCATGATAGAGATTGGGAATAGTGTGATCATTTCTTTTTCTCCATCTATTGTCTACAGGGAAGAACTGCTTTGCACTGGCTCTGTAACAATGGCTACCTTGATGCTATAAAGTTGCTGCTTGGTTTTGATGCTTTCCCTAATCATATGGAGAACAGCGAGGAAAGGTACTATGGTCTGAATGAGTCATTTTCTAATTTAGCAAAAATGCTACCTATTGATTCAAATGTTTGTTGTTCAGATATTTTCACAGTGTCATGATTGTCCTCGTATGTAAAAGGAATGCTATAGCTTCAGGCTTCAGTGTGAGGAGCTTTTATAATGTGAAAAATCTCGTTTACGTATGACATTGCAAGTTTAAACTTCAGCTTTTTGTACTTTTGAAGACTGAGCTTCTGGACATTTCTGCAAGTATTTACTCATTCTACTCTGATTTGAAATATTAAGCATTTTTTTCGTTTTGATGAAGTTGGCAATGGATATGTATGATGAAAAGATGAAAATGTTAGAGTAGTCTGGAGTTTCTCTTATTGGTAGGAATACAGTGAGAAGAAAGCAAATGGAAGAAATGCATTGCTACGTTTTAAAATAGTGATTACAAATTACTGGTGATTAACTGTATTCTAAAAGCCTGGGTTTGGGGGCTTTTTTTTTTTTTTATCTTGTAATCATGAAGAGAAAGTAAATTTGCACCTCTTTTCTTTGTGTTTTATTGACACATACATTATTTTTTTTTTAAAGTGATTTGAGTTACAGAGTTCAAATTAATCACCTGACCATGAAGATAATGAGCGTTAGCAGATATTTATGATGTCTTTTCAGAATAGATAACCTCATTATAATCATAAATAAAATTATGATCAGTATGTCATGCAGATTTTGAGTATTTCTCAATTTTAAATAATTTAAATGCATTTAAGGCTCACATTTTAGAGCTAAACTGGAGAGTCCTTTCCTTACCCCAGTTAATTGTTTTCTTTCCCCATCATTTCTCTTTCATTCTCTACACCAGCTACTCAGATCACTCATGCTTTTGTGTTTATTCTCATTTTTAGTGAGAAACAAATGAAGGTGTTAAGTTGTTCCTAAGTAATGTCAATACTCTCTAGAAATTTTTTATAGAAAATTAAGCGAACAGCTGTAGTTAAATTACTCTTAAGAAGTGAAATGAAAAATGCCATTCTTACGTTGTAGAAATGGACTAATGATACTCAACTGTTAGGAAAATGCCTTAGCTGTGATGTTACTGTAGTCATTCAGTTACTATCTATTTTGTTTACCTTTTGACATTAATGTGTGTTCGTATATATAAGCCTTGATTACTCTGGATATAACAAGCAGCATTCTGAATGGACACTGTTAAGCACCAGTCCATGTGCAGAAAAGAACAGATCTTCAATATTTCTGGATGAATCAGTCTGTAAATATAATTTTCCTAAAATATACGTGTTATATGGAAAACTTGTGCAATTGCCTCTTAGTAGACATCTACAAAACTGTATTTTGTTGATAAAACCTTGTTTTATTATTAAGACAGTAGAAGTCTGGAAAATAGAAAAGAGTGTCAAGTGAATATTCTCAGAAGAGAGTAAAATGACCTTGTGGATATGGTTCATCTGTAATTGGATGTAAATGCTTTTCTACTGAATTACAGTTTCACAAAGTGGTATTTTTTTTTCTGATATATCTATACAAGGGTGCTGTTCTTGCTCATGTAGAGTGCAATATGAGATACTAGTTCAAAATTCAAACCCAGCACTTAAAACTTGTCAAAAGATGGAGCTAGAATTGCATCTAAGATTTTAAGTTGCCCAGTTGCTTGCAGATGAGTGACTAATTGTTGGTGTGAGGGGTAGTAGGTTTGCTGTTTTTTGCAGGATTTGATAATCCAGCTGTATGTCATGAGTGCATCAAGTAATGCTAAGTTAGCTGCTGCTTGACCACCTTCGTGCTAGATTACATGTAACAGCTGTTGGGTGGTGTCTTCCATGTGTGTTTTGCTATGAAGCCAGCTTGATTCAAAAGCTAACTGGTTTAAATAACCAGTGGAAAAGAGAATTGTTAATAGGCTTTGGATTGACACAAGCAGTGGGTGGTTGTGGTAATAATATACATAAGCAGCATGGGTAGTGTCTGATTATACACACCCCTATTTGGATTTAAGTGTTTTGTTTTTTTTTTGTATTTCTGAAGGTAGCTTGAGTGGGGTCAGATAATCCACGTTTAAGAATAGGAGTCTGCATGACTGCAATCCATAATACAATGCATCGTTTTGGTACATGCATATTCACAGCATAAAGTTTACTTCAGTATCTCTTGTATACGTTAACTAAAATATTCAAAGCTAGCTATACTTTAAAAATGTCACTTTCTGAAATGAGGTTCTTTCTGAAGTATCCATTCTTGGGTTATCAAAAATCCGTAGCTATTTAAATGCTATCAACACACCTTGACATACAGATTTTCATGTTATGTCATTGTCTTTATTCCCACAGACACTTCAGTTCAGATACTGTTAATCCTTCCATCAAATCATTGCTGTGTGGCAAGTCCAATTGTGCTCTTTCTGTCTGTTTTTCTTTGCTTACCAGCATTGTGTCCTTGCAAGTTACCATCAAGAAGAGCCCTAATTTTCTCAATCACATGCATTGACACTTACTGTTTGAAAGCCTTGCATTATATGGTCTTGATTATGGTTTGTGACTGATAATTCTCCACCACAAAATGTCTTTGCCTAATGCTTCAGTGTTGGAGAGGGGGGCAGGCACCTTTTGCACTTATCCAGTCAATGGAAATTTGGGGAATTTTTATCCAGAAATACGTAGGCAGGTTTGACACTATTTAAAAGCAAAGACATTTAATATTTTTATCACACATGTTGATTTGAAGGCAGGCTTGTCTAACGAGTACTTTTTAAAAAATGTTATCCATTAAAGTAGGTTTAATAGTGTTCCTTGGTCAGCTACACTGTCCTCAGTCGTCGTTGTAGAAGCCAAGCTAGATGTGACAGTAAATTCTCAGAACTTAAATGGATACGTAAATAACGCAAAGTATGTTTTGTTCTGCTTTTTACTTAGATAGTATCTCAACATATGAACCTTACTAACTTCTTTGTTTGCTTAAAACAGTTAATAATAACATGGGTGGGACTTTGGACTGCTGCACTTAGTATTGTTTGACCCCCTCTACGTTAGGCAATTAAAATAAGCTTTAAACATGATCAGGGTGGGCACCATGAGCAAGACAGGAGAATAATATTTAAAATAAGAGCAGTGGTCTTCTGAAAACAGTACTTCAGCAATTTTCAGTCTAGAAGTTGCCTTATTACGAAATCAACACGAATCTTATAACGTCAATGCACATTATGATTAGGAATCCAATTCATTGTTAATTATTGTCTTCTTTTTTTTTTTTTTTTCTTTTCTTTTTTTTTTTTTAAGATACACTCCACTTGATTATGCCTTGCTTGGTGAACACCATGAAGTGATTCAGTTCATGTTAGAACATGGAGCTCTCTCTATAGCTGCCATACAGGACATTGCTGCTTTCAAAATTCAGGCTGTTTACAAAGGATATAAAGTTAGAAAGGCTTTTCAAGAAAGGAAGAATCTTTTAATGAAACATGAACAACTGAGAAAAGATGCTGCTGCCAAGTAAGTCTGAAACTCAAAATCTATTCTAGCAAATAGACATTTGCCGTAAGTTTCTATATGCATGTGTGTGATTTTATCTATTACTGATCATCACTTATTGTTCTTATTGTAAGATTCATGAAACTTGCAAGCATCTAATGGAATTTTTTTTTTTATAATGCTACATATGAAAACCGTTTTCCAGATAATCCCACATTAAATAGCAATCTTTATATAATGTGCATGAACAAGGCAAAAATACTAAAGACTGGAAAACCAGCATATTAGCATCATTAATCTTTAACTGATAATAAGTTTTGGAAAACATTTATCACTCTGGAGTAATGAAAATAATCATTGGCCTCACGAGTCTTTGATAAAAGTTTTGAAAATAAATTAATAAGTAGATGAAGAAGATAAATTAGATACTTGGAAAGCCTGATTAAATAAGGCTTAACTGTTTCGTGTGGGAGGCTGAGCTTTTCTAGAAAACTGAACTCCTTCCAGATTTTATTTGCAACTTCTGTCTTGGCAGTATAATACACTCCAGTGAGATTTTCTGCACTTGAATTAGACTGTTATCGTGAAATCATTATATTAGATTATAAATAACTACCATATGCAATTCAGATAGTTGCTTTTAAGATGTGTCAATTCTGATTGAACTGGAGTAGCAAAAGGACAAAATTCTAAAATGCAGAAAAACATAATTGACCATCAAAATATTCTGATAGGTTAATCTTTATCCTTAAAATTCACCATATAAAAAGAACAAATTAGCACACAGGTTCTCTTAAAGAGATTTGATTCTGGAATAAAAGTATGAATCAGAAAATATTTGCAGTAATTTTGGTGTAATATTTCTACAAAATATTTATAAAGAGAGTTCTATTAATGGATAGACACTAATCATTGAACACAGAGGATTTTTTCTTACTTCTGTGTATTTTAGGCAAAATCAGCTGCAGAGTGCTATATTTCAAATTAATTAGCATGGTGCTCTGTATATATGGCCAATCTGACCTTCATTGGGTTTGAGTGCTGCTACAATATTGGTTACAGCTGATTAATGCCCATTAAGAATCCAAGCTAGAACTACTAGTTAACTAATCTCTTGCTCACATCTTTAGATCCTGAAGTTGTAACTTGCAGCCCTCCTACTATTGCACTTTCTGAAGTCAGGATAAGTCAGAAGTTTGGAGAATCTGTCTTTGAAAATATCCTTAATATCTTATGTATTTCTTCAATTTTGAGAACTCTGCTTCTTGCTGTGTGATCACAACTGACTTTACCAGGTTGGAGTAGTTTTACTCTCTGCGATGACAGTCATTTTTAGAAGTATCTGTGATACCCCATCCGACACATTAAACAAGAAAGGTTTGCCTGATGGAAATTTGGGAATTTTTTGTCATTGTTTCCCTTTGTGAGTTTCTAATGTACTTTCTGAAGCTTACTAAGCTGTTGTTGATTTGTTTGAAAAGAATAGAAATAAAGTTTGTGTACCAAATACCATAAAAACAGAATTAAAATATAATTGGAGTGTACAAGCAAATCAAGTTGTCACATAACAAATCTTATTTAATTGCAATTTTATGATCTGTAATAAACTGGAGGGGATATTATGTTGTCATCATTCTGCATACCCATCTGTGCATTCCACAGTTAAACTTGGCCAGGGCGTTGTTACATACAAACAAATAATATCCCTATTCATGTTTAAAAATCTGCTCTCCAGATAAAAGTAGACATTATGTACAAAGCCAGAATGATGGTGAATGCCTAGATTGAAAAAAAAAAAACAACCCACAAATCAAAACCAACAAAAAATAGCCTGCTTCAGAGACATACTGCATGGCTAAGCAGAGAAGCTATGACAGAATTTAGATGTAAAAAGGCAGTATGCCAGAGGTGCAGCCAAGGACAATCTACAAAGGAGGAGCTTAGCATCACTTAAGTGCATAGGGATTGCATCAGGAAAGATAAAACTCAAAGTTGAGATTAAAAGGAATAGCCCAGACAAAGAGCTGAGCTTCTGCCTTTACAGTGATAGTAAGAGGCTTAGCAAGGAGAATGTGGGCCCATTGCTGAATGGCATGTGTGATTTGGTGAGTGCAGGCACAGAGGAGGTGGAGATGCTCAGTGCCTTCTTGTCTGCAGTCTTCCCCAAGGTCTCCCAAGACCCCTGTGCTTAGAGAATGGTTCAAGAAGGAGGAGAGCTGCCAGAAATGAATAGGGACTAAGTCAGGGTTTGCTTAAGAGAACTCAACCTAGACAAGTCCATGGGACCAGATGAGCTACATTTAAGTGTGCTGAGAGAGCTGACTGGTGTTCTTAAAAGACCACTATCAAGCATCTTGGAAAGGTCACAGAAATCAGGAAAATTTCCACAGTGATGGGAAGAAAATAAACGTATGGAATTTCTACAAGAGCCAGAAGAACAATCTGGGGAACTACGTGGCCTCACTTTAGTCCCTAGGAAATACATAACAGACAGAAGCTGAGATGATGAGATTTTGACAGAAAATATGGACTAAGTCAATCATAAGTCAAGTATTTCATCAACAGTCAAGCAATGGACAGGTTGCTCGAAGAGAGGATGCAGTTTCCATTCTTAAAGATTTTCAAGATCTGGCTGCATACATCTCTGAAGATCCTCATCTTACCTCACAGCTGGCCTTTATTTGAGCAGAATGTTGGTCTTCATGTTTCTTGAGATCCCTTCCAACATGTATTCCATACTGTATAGAGAACATGCCAGGAGTGAAACATTGCTTTGACAGAGCAGCACAGAAGTGATCTAGGAAGGACATATTTCAAAACCAAAAATTTCAGTCTACACAGGGGTAAGATGTTGGACTTTTTAACCTTTTTCAGAAAGAGGCTTTCGTTTTAGAAAACAGTCTTAGAGTTCGTCTTTTATTAGAGAAGAGTTTAGTCGTATAAAGTCATACAGTTTAGTCATAAAGAGTTTAAATCATATGCTGGAAATGGTTTCTTCTGAATATTGAGGTCTGAAAGAACTTCAGAATTCATTCATCACTTGTTCATCTTCCTTCTGAATTTCTCAGAATAAGTTCCTGGACCTTTACTTCTCTGTTTTAACAAAGACTTCTGGATTTGATTCCAGCCACTTGGTAGCAACTGCTTGAGACTAAGAATATGAATAGGAACTTGGATGAAAGTGAATAAGAGTAAATAAGTCATATATAAGAAGAGAAGAACATCAAGAACATAAAACAGTCAATTCAATAACTTTCAGTAAAATGAGCAGAATTTTCCAAGGGGCAAGAGAGTGCAAGCAGATTGAGATTCATCAGAAAACTGGTGGCAAGGCTGCTGCATGCTGGGCAAAGAGAAAATAATGAGCTTTTCAGCTACCTGAGAAGGGAAAGCACATACTGGAAAGTTGATGCCATTGCTAAAAAAGAGGGATGGAGATAACATACAGTGATACAATTAAAGTGAAACACAAAAGAAGAGCAACTAGTAAGAGATGTGGTATATCACAAGAAACGATTGTAGGCATACGCACAGTAAAAGGAGGAAAAAAGAAAGTATTGATCCATAGGTGATACTCAAAAGACTGAAGTGTTTGTTTTGCTTGTTTCAGTCTTCATTAGATGTCAAATGATGTTCAATAGCAGATGAAATTCACACTAGAAACAGAAGGCAGAGAAGCAGGCTAAAATACTAAAAGAACAGTTTAGAGAGTAAGTGGATGAATTAGATGATTTCAGATCATTTTAGCCTGATAAAGTTCATCCTGTGCTATTTAGGAAACTAGCTGAAATAATCTTAAAATTGTTGCCTTTAAAATCTGTGTGGGACTTGCTGGGCTACAGTATGTGTGAGATTAGCAGAATGCCTGCTTTGTCAAAGAGCGAAAGTATCGCGGGATTACCAAGATTGGAACGGAGCTCTTCAGATCATATAGTCTATCCCCTCCCCTCAGAGTCAGCTAGCCCAGGTTGCCCCAGGACCTGTCCTGTCTGGTTTTTAATACCTCTGCAAACAAAGGCTCCACAGTCTCTCTGGGCAATCTGTTCTCTGAATCTTGTCTTCTCCAGGCTGAGCACTCCCTACTCTCTCAGCTTCTTCTCATGAAAGATGTTTCAGTCCCTTGAGCGTCTCTGTGTTCTTTTCCAGGACTCATTTCAGTAACTCCATACCTTTCTTGTACGGGAATTAAGTAATTGTGTTATTTCTGTGTGTCAGAAACATAACAAAACATAAATAAGCAATCTTGGCTTTGCTAAAACAAATTGTATCGATTCAATGAGATTTCCTTTTGTACCAATAACAACAAATTTTGTGGCCATGGAGAAATAGTAGCTGCCATTAAAATTTGCCTGAAGTTTTCATACATTTCGTTAGTAAATCAGGGCAATGTAACTTGAATTAAACCTTGATTATGTGGTGAAAAACTGCTTAGAAGAACATACGCAGTGTAGTTCATAATGGTTCAACCTAAAACTGGAAGTATATATTGATTAGAATCTCATACAGTGCAGTATTTTAACTTAGGAATTAAAATGTTAGATTTGTAAATAGTACCAAGATGCAGAAGACTGCAAATATGCTGAATTCTAATTTAGAATGTGTTAATGTAGATGAGAAATAACTGAGTGAACAGTAGGAGGTCAGGTAAGGACAAATGCACAGCTCTACACATTGTTTTTAAAACACATGAGACCATGTTAACAAGAGACAGCTATTTATACAACAGGAAATATAACTCCTTGGTCAAGATAAAGCCTCAGCTGTGGTAGAATCACAGCTGATGATGTATATCTGCAGTTGTGTTTTTTAAAGTAACAGCTTCTGCAAGGATAACTCTATCCGTATGTTCTCTGGGCATATCAACATGCTCTAAACTTAAAATGTCCTCCACAGAGTAGATAGATCAAAGCATTGTTAACAGAATAGAAATGATTGAATTCATTTTAGCAGAATTAAAAAATCAAAGCATCTCTGTGTCTTCACAAATGCTTAAGGCTGAAACTGTTCCTTTGCAGATGCCAAAACCTTAATTTCTGCTCTATCACTTTTTGCAATGCAATACAAATTTATGACTCCTAAGGACAGAATTCTGTTGCAATTAATGTGGACAATTTTAGTATATTATCACTGTAGCTGTAGTTGTCTAACTTTAGAGTCCAAGTTTGGATCCTGATGAGTTACTGGACCTTCCTGAGAATAAATGAGAGCTGTGAAGTTAGAAACTTGTGTGCTTCCCTTACCTGCTAATGAAACTTAGTCTCTTAACTTAGGCAATAATAAAACTTGAAAAATTTATTTTTTATAATATATTTTACTGTAAAACAAACTGAATTTCTCATTAACTAAAGCACAGCCCGTGGAGAGGTTTGTTAGTATTCAGGTAACTATTAATCAGCTAAGCTCAATGTTGATGAGCACGGTGGTCTATGAATTGGGAGGTTTGAAATCCCTTCCTTTTATTATTTCATCAGTTTCATCTGAAAAATTAGCACCCCTTAAAAAAAAACCAACAAACAACCTTTTACTTCTCGATTTCTGTTCTGTGGCATTCCAGTAACTTTACAACTGGTTTGTTGCTGATGCTGTTTTGAGTTAATCTGCTATTCCCAGAGTGCGGGCCACTCTGGCTTCCTTCTGTATCACAGCCTTGGCTCACATTTTCTGTCACCCTAAATGGAGGGTACTGGTAATAGATGGCTTGGTTGTTGCGAGGAAAACAAAAATGGCTGTTTTGTGAATACTAAGATCTGATTTATCAGATCTAATGGCAATGAGATCCATACTGTACACAAGGCAGACATCCCCACATGGCCTATTTGCGGAATGCCGATATTATTTGAAACTAACCACTTTTTTCTGTGCCTTGGGGAATACTGAACCTCAGACTGCCAGGAGTGTATTTTTTAGATCAATTAACAGCTTTTCAGGTACAAAGTTCAATCAGTTTCTTCTGCAGCGAGAACTTGATAAGATAGTACTGACAGATAAAGTTAAGGCTTCTCCCTGGCATATCACACTGAAATGACATACACTGGCATTGATACGACTCACAGGAACTGAGGATGGCATGCTGCATAACTAACCTGTCATATGCTGTGCTGTGAGCTAATGTGTCAATAGTCTGCAAACTGTGTTGTAGCATTGGAAGCAAGTTAAAGTATCAGGCAGCTACATGATACGACATTTACCAGCTGTCTGTTCCAACAGGAAAAGTGTCACTTCATCTTATAACCAGTGCTTAATTTATAAAAACAAGTTCAGTGGTAGGTAGCTATGTAGTGCTTGCTGCCTGTTATTGGGTTTATTCTGCTTTGCAGGAAAAAGATTGAAAAAGCTAAAGTGTAATGACGTTCCATTGCATTTCAAAATAGGCTGCAAAACATTATTGAACAGATGTGCCTTTCCCATCCTTGTCCAAAATCCTCTTTTGTATCTACACTATTTAAGAGATACATGACTACTTTCATTTTTGGAAACCGAACACCACAGTTGTGAGGGTAAAATATCTGCACAAAATTTTTTAATTCGCTTCTCATATTTTCAGTATTTATCATTTGTGTAGTGTACAATCCATTTGTGTAAAATAAGTTCTTTAATTATGTATCAATGATAAACATACAACAGCAAGTTAGTAGCATACCTAGTTTGAGTTGGTTTGTAATTGTATTGAGTACAACATAGAATCAATACGGATGACAAGTCTTCTATGAAATGTTCTGACTTTCAGATAAATACAGTTCATTGCATTTCTACCTGTATTAGAGCGTGGTTCATTACTAATTCAAACCATCCTTATTAGCATCATGTTTCTTGTCTTTGGATGGCTTTTTCAAGTATTTTCGTTGGTATTCTTTTCTGTGGTTTAAAATAAAAGAGGAACTGCTTTTCTCTTTAAAAAAATCAAAAGGATCTTTTTTTTTCTAACAAAAACCAAATTTATGTCGTTTTAAACTAGGGAGTGTTTTAAATTTCAACTGCTGCAAAACGAACAAGAAACTGCATACTAAGGACTTAACCTTCATTAAACTCAAGCTAAAAGTCAGTTGCTATTTTGGATCAAGCTAAGACACTTCCATGTAACCAATAACCATTTCTCACAAAAAAGACACACAGCATTTCATTGTGGCTGTGTCAGGTTTCTAGAGATGATTGTCTACAAGTTAGGTACGTGCTCCCAAGATTTTGTCTTTGAAATTCTTATGGTATTTACTATAATTACAGGAAACGTGAAGAAGAAAGTAAAAGAAAAGAAGCCAGCCTACAGAAAGGAATGCAGAATGTGGAGCAAAATAAGTTTCGAGTACAACCGAGTGCAGCAGATCGAGAGAAGACTTCCAGCACATTGCAGTTATCTAATAAACAAATTGATCTACAGAATAAGAGACCTCTCTCTGTCAAGGCTTCTCAAATTCAGCTAGGGAGAAACAGTAGAGGTTCCCCTAAGGCTTGTCGCAGCAAAGGGTCACCAAAGGAGAGCCGCCTGTCTTCAGAGCCACAGAGCGAAGGTCATAACATCAGGCAAGGTTTGTAATCATTGATAGTTGGTGTGATAGTTGTGTGTCTTTTTCGAACGTGTCTGGGGAGGTTTTGTATGTAGAACGTTTTACTCTTTTGTATTAATTGTTCTTTCATTATTTAAACAATTTATATAGGATGAAGCTAGGTATGGATTCTTTTTTTTGCATGTGTTCAGTCATCTTGGGTAGTCAGAGACGTCGGTATGCACAGTGACTGTAACAGTACCTAAAATATATGAGAATGGGATGTCAGGAGATGTTCTGGCTATTAGCCGCATTGTTTAGGAAAAAAGAGAGCAAAGATATTTGATGTATCTGTAGGATTCTTGAAGGATTCTTAATAGAGAATTGTTACTCATTTAAAAACAGATGAGGGTAGAATTTCTTCAAAGGCAGCTCTCTAGCGTACAGAAGGCAGCTTCGTTCTCCATGGCAGATTTCTCCTATGATTTGCCTCCAGAGTTGTCTTTTTGAGAGCGTACTAGGATATTTTTTGAGAAATTAGGCTGTTCATTGAAATGTGTCTGACTTCTTTATGTTACTTTATTTGCCCTGGTACAGTACACTCTTTTACTATTTCTATAAATGCATCCTCACTTTATGATAATTTCTTGACCATTCCTGTATTAGTTTCACAAGATACACGCTTTAGCAATGTTTCAATCAGTTCTGACTGCAACCAAGTTATAGCAAAATTGGCCATGTTAAAGCATCTCTGCTGTCATTAGAAGTAAAAGTTGGATAAGTTGTTTGGTTAAGCTAAGCTGCAGGAACTCCTTTTCAGGCATAAAATTACTGCTACTTGGAATTTCACTGTAATCCAAAGGAAAAGAAAGTCAAAGAGCCTTTCCTGGATTTATTTCCTTTTACATGGAAATGCCTTAATGAACAGAACACTTGTCTGTGTTGTAGTAAAGGCAGATATCTATCTTATCCTAATATATTCTTTAAGAACTTTAAATATCATTATTATGATAAAGATGATAGAGATGTTAAAAATGCTAGCAAGCTTTATCCGTGTACATATGAAACAACAACGTAATAAAACCAGATTTGCAAAGGAAAACACTTGAAATTAGGAGTAATCGGAAATGGTGGTTACCAAAGAAAAATGAATAGTTATAATGGACATAATGAGGAGAAATTGATAACTGAGGAGATGAAACAGGAGAAAGAAAGGGTTCTGGAGGGTTAGAGTGCAGGGAAAAGAGAAAAAGAAAGATGGAGAAATTATAAAGGAAGAATGAACAGCTTTTTCTTTTACTGACTCCAATATCCATTCTTTGCTGAAATTTTCCATTGCTTTTACCAATTGAAACTACGTTTCATCAGTCAGACTCCCAGCATTTATTGGAACAAATACAGTGCTGGAGTGAAATGATGGCCTGAAGGTAGAAGAAGTATGTAGGATACATGAAGTATAAGGTCAAAGAGACTTCAGAGATCAGGATAGAACTTGCCAGATCTCCTGCATAGGATTCTTACAGTGTTACTTATGTTTGAAAAAAGCACATTTGTGTTCAGCTGTATACATGACTTTTCCCATATACCTGGGGAGTTCAAACCAGCAGTAAATGCCAGTAGCTCATAGCTTGAACTTTTGCTTTAAAGGCTTCCCTGAGGTTGGAGATTTCCTGAAGTAGCTATGCCAGAATAATTTTTCCATGTTGATGATTTATAAGTAAATTTTTAACTAACATGGGCCATTGTCTGGAGATTTTCTGGTTTCATTTATTTATTTATTCTTATATATTCTTATATATATATATATATATATATAAAAAAGAAGAATATAATTTCTCCAGAGGTAGAGTTACGATTTTCTTCACCATTTTACATTGTCTTCCCTGTGACAATGTGGAGCACAATGAGAACAGAAATCTTGACACAAGGTTCTTCTGAAAATGCATGGTAACGTGTCTACTTATGCAGTGAGAACAGGTTCAGGTTATAAAGAAAACTCCTTCAGAGTCCAGTCAAAAATGTCTGTGTTTGAAATGGAATGCTGTGCTCTGTTTACTCAAATATGTTTACTCATTGATGCCAGTGAAGTTGATGCAGTGAGAATCACAGAATCACAGAATTGTAGGGGTTGGAAGGGACCTCCAGAGATCATCGAGTCCAACCCCCCTGCCAAAGCAGGTTCCCTACAGCAGGTCGCACAGGTAGGCATCCAGGCAGGTCTTGAACATCTCCAGAGAAGGAGACTCCACCACCACCCTGGGCAGCCTGTTCCAGTGCTCCGTCACCTCACTGTAAAGAAGTTCTTGCTCACATTTGTGCAGAACTTCCTATGCTGCAGTTTCTGGCTGTTTCCCCTTGTCCTGTCTCCACTCACCACTGAAAACAGTCTGGCCTCGCCATTCTGCCCCCCACACCTCAGATATTTATAGACCTGGATCAGGTCCCCTCTCAGTCTTCTTTTCTCAAGGCTGAACAGACCCAGTTCACTCAGCCTTTCCTCATAGGAGAGATGCTCCAGGCCCTTCACCATCTTCGTGACCCTCCACTGGACTCTTTCCAAGAGATCCCTGTCAATCGACTCATGAAGTTTTTTACCCGCTTTTCATGAGGTGTCACAGTCAATCCTCTTGTGGTAAAAAAAAAAACTTCAGTGGACTTCACTGGAAATTTTAGTGGAATTAAATATAAACTTAGATCCCGTGGGCTGGCACTTTGGAAAGCTCTTCAACAGCTGAAGCTAAATGTTTTACACTTACTCACAGAATGTGAAAGCTGTAATTTAGCTGGTGGCTCTGTTCTGATCCATTCTCCTCTCCATTCTGAAATCTTTCCGATGTGCGTTATCTCATTTGCAGCTGCAGTTTCCTTAACTGTAAGTAATTTTTCTAGGTCTGTGCTCAACGCTGTTTCTTTGCATCTATGAAAGAAAGTTTATTTCAACCTCAGAAGGTGATCTAGAATTCTTAAATGATCTTCTCATCTCACTTCTACAGTGAGCCAGTTGTTCAGACTGGGAAGTTTTGCACACACTTCTTTAATGACTTACATGTTCTAGGGATGAAATAAAAGTGAGAATTCTACATCCCACATTTACAAATCAGGTAGCAATTTTGGGTGAGTTAAGAATGACAAAGGCTGTGTTCTTTTTTCCTCACAACTGTAAAGACTGACTTTCTGAAAGTTCAAAACAGTGCTATGACAGTGCTGGGAATTTCATACACGTGAACTGAATGTCAGCCCTTTACTGCTCTTATTGATGGTACTGGTAATTTTGTACTTGGCTTCATTGGGAGTGGAATTATGCCCTAAGAAATTTTGTTGTTAAAAGGCACTTTTTTCAAATTGTAGCAGCACATTTTTTAAATCATCTCTTCCACTGTTGTAGTGAGAGAGGGGGAATTTACTTCTCCACTCTGGAAGTTGAGGAAAAAACAGGATTAAATGAGGTAATAATTGCTTGAACAAATAATAGATTAAAACAGATCATACAGTAGTGTTTTTCTCCCTGTCTTACAACATATACAGGGCTATATGACAATCTTTATATAAGTTAGAGTAGCCTCTCTGGCCATACAATCCTGTCACCATGATAAATCTTCCCTGTCAGAGGCATCAATGATAATAATCCTGAATTCTTTCTGTATAAACTGTTATTCTGCCACATTCAGCTACCCAGACAAGAGAGTGTACTGAAAAGGTGTTAAAGTGAGGATAAGTATAGCATGGTTTTACCAGGTTTTGTTTAATCCAGGCATTTACACTCTAGTCTGGCTGCCACATCATTCTCGCAAGAGTGTTTGGAAGCAATAATCATACCTGATTAACTTTCCTATTGTGGCCTTGGAAACTGGGAAAAGAAGTCTTGCAATAAGGGAAAAATGGGAAGGACTTCCAAGTTTCATTTAGGAAATCAAGGGAAGTAATGACAGCCAAGCCCTCAGGATTTCCTGAGTCAGTTACATTGTCATGATGTGCTGGGATACAAGGTGGATAGAGCAGAAGGTCAGCAAATAAGCTGGAAACAATGACAGTCTGTTAGGGTGTTGTCACTGGAACTAGCAGGTGTGTTATTGCAGCTGCATTCTTTTGCCATGTGGTGAGCTTGTATCTGTGGAAAAGACCACTTTATTCAGGAAGGTAAATTCCTCTCTGAACTTTGTTAGGTATCTAATTCAAATTTGGTGCAAGAGAGAGACGTGTACAACGGTACGCAAGAAGTTTGAGATGTTAATCAGGTAACGATTACTTGCAGCCTGGAATGCCAACTGTGTTCTGGGCTGCCTTAAAAAAGGGGTGGCCAGCAGGGAGAGGGAGGTGATTGTCCCCCTCTGCTCGGCTCTTGCGAGGCGCCATCTGTAGTACTGCGTCCAGCCCTGGGGCCCCCTGTACAGGAAGGACGTGGAGCTCTGGGAGCAGGTCCAGAGGAGGGCCACTAAGATGATCAGAGGGCTGGAGCACCTCTCCTATGAGAAAAGGTTGAGGGAACTGGGCTTGTTTAGCTTGGAGAAGAGAAGGCTCCTGTTTGAAGGCTCCGGTACTTAAAGGGAGCCTACAAACAGGAGGAGGAATGGCTTTTTATGAGGGTGAATCATGATAGGACAAGGGGAAATGGCTTTAAACTGAGACAGGTTAGATATTAGGAGGTTTGGGTTAGATATTAGGAGGAAGTTTTTCACACAGAGGGTGGTGACGCACTGGAACAGGTTGCCCAAGGAGGTTGTGGATGCCCCATCCCTGGAGGCATTCAAGGCCAGGCTGGATGTGGCTCTGGGCAGCCTGGTCTGGTGGTTGGTGACCCTGCACACAGCAGGGAGGTTGAAACTCGATGATCATTGTGGCCCTTTTCAACCCAGGCCATTCTATGAGTCTTCTACCTTTCCTGATTCTTCCTGCTACTACTTTTTTCTTCAAGTGTGCCTCAAAGGTGCATGAGCAAAAGAATATTAGAATAATAAACTGTTTTGCTGGATCAGAGACTGAATGTTTGTTTCCATTTCTCTGTTTAAAGAATTATTGAGAAAGCACATCAAAAGCAAGCCAAGTTGTGTCCATTTCCATTGCGGCAAAGCAAAAGAGGTAATGAAAATTGAAGCAAAACATCAGGTTGCAGCTGCTACAGAACTGAATGGAGAAAAGCACAAAGAGCACGCTTTGGAGGCAAATGGTGCTCGTGGTAACAGAAGGCATGCTTCTGCTTGTGGGACTGCTGGTGCTGGGGAAAAAACAAGAGATCAAAGTCAGTCTTCATCTGGTAACAGGGGCCACTGTGAAGGAACTTCAGTGGTCATGTGCAATGTCAGTTGTGCTGGTGGAATTGCAAGAAATTCAAAGCGGTGTGAAGCCGTTCCAAAAGGCAAAAGGCATCAGCAGAAATCCAGACATAAAGAGGTGAATGATGAGAGATGTTCACCGGCTGGCTCAAGTAGACCGGGGAGTGCCAAAGCAGTATTTGTAAACACCAGAAATGCCGCTGTTAGTGCCATAGGAGATGCTAACAATGTGGGAAATAACGAATTAGGAAAAAAGACCTCCTCGTTATTGTCTACTGAGACCGAATCTACAGGAACTGGGCCAAGAAATCCAGCAGTGTGTTCTGCTCCTGATGACAGTTTGAACTTGGAAAAAACAAGTGAAGTTGGATCCAGGAACGCAGATGACCAACTATGTTCTGTTGCGTGGCAAAGTACAAATATTGAACTGATCCCTTTAGAGATTCGGATGCAAATCATAGAAAAAGAACGAACAAGAAAAGAGCTATTTCGGAAAAAAAACTACGCTGCTACAGTTATACAGAGGACATGGAGAAGGTAAGGCTACTATTTCAGTAGCTAGAGATGAGATACACTTAGATGTGAACTGCGGTGTACATCAGCAGCGTGCTTTATTTGGTCCCTTTGCTTATAGCAGTAACTGTGATAAATCAGGAATGTAATAACCTTTCACCCACCAGATGGAAGTATGCTCCAGTTGCCTAGACTGACATCAGTGAGTTCTTAAAAAGAACACAGTGATGACTTTCAATAATTGGTGAAGTTATTAAACTTCTGTTCCAAGCATTCTTTATAGAGTGCTGATCAACACTCACCTGAGGCCAGAGTTACTGCACTCATGCTCAGTAGCAAACATGTAGGAATGTAATTTTCTTCCAGCAGTTTTTTGTTACTGGATCCTCCACCATCATTTACTGGAACACCTGAAATTGTGTTGTATTGTATTCTAACCTAATGGCTCAAGCAAATCGTTTCTTTGCTCCAGCTTTCTGACTCATCAATCTAAATATTGCTCATTACAGTACAGTCATATTCCAGCTTATCTCTTCATTGTTGTTGATATGGTAAAAATGCAGTTGACTTTTCTAAGTACATTCCTATTCCAGTGGGAAGCTGACATTTTGGAGAACGCTATTTTTAATTCATTTTTGAACCTTGTGTGTGAAAAATATTATGACTTTTTTGTACAATAGCACTGTACATAGCACTTCTGTACTCCTGTAATCTTTGGTCTCCAGTTGCTATTTATGACACACTCCTTATACCTACACTCAACTGCAAAGCAATCCCTTTTTTTTCCCCAGTAATCCAGTACTCCTGCCATCACCCTCAAATTTTCCATCCATTGTTTTTTGACTTCTTTTCTAATTGGGAGCCTGAATTCTTGTCTTGTTTTCAGATCCATTGAGATCCCAGAAGCTGAATTAAGTCAGGAGTAGATGAGGGGAGTACATCCATTCATGATACTGTTGCATCTGGTGATTATGCTGTTCTCAGTTGACAGCAAATTGCAATCCTTCCAAAGCATGGTGCATGGTACAGCTTTCATTTGGAGAGTTCTCCACACACCATGTAGCTCATCACAGTTACTAAGTAGGTACCCAGTGTATGGCTGTGGGTCCCACTAAGTCCTGCTTGTCATTTGAGTCGAGGCTTGCACTGGTAAAAAGCACGCACGTGTAGACAGCAAGAGAACTGCACATCAGTATAGAAATATGTTGATGTTGTAGTATGTGCTTGAGGTGTAGCATTTCTCTACTTCGCATAAAATTGCTTTGTCTCTGCAAGTTTTACAGTGATAATTTTCTTACTGAGAATGTTATTGAAAGCTGTTGTGAGCTACAACACAATGGCCCTGGTCTACTAAAGCATACTTAACTTTCCTTTCTTGGGAAGACGTTTCAATTCCCACAGTCCACAAACTTTGCAAGTGTAGCCCTCAGAAGTGTGTTCCAAGGTGTATGCCTTGCCAAAGGTTAATTGCTCATCCTGCTCACTGAGGCTTGCAGATCCTGTGTCTGCCTCGCTCTCATCTGGGGCACTGGGGCCACTGCTGTCCTTCGTGGTCCACAGTGAATTGACAGAAACTGGCAATAAGCTGGTACTGTTGGTCTCCTGCTGGAGATGAGTGTTTCCAATCCATTATTGCTGCATGTGTACCTTACCAGCAGCATTTCAAAGCTTGACCCCCTGTAACAGTGTACCTGAATAGCACTTACCTTTCTGCATGTGCATTCCACATTTATGTGCAGTAGTTTTGCTGAAGAAGTGTTGGCTATTTTGTTAGGGCACCAGAAGGATTAATTGATAGAGCATTAAACTTGGTGCTGTTCTGTCTTTTCTTAGTAGAATCAGAACAGTTTATTATAGGAGGAGCTTAATTAAAAAATAATAATAAAAATGCACACACACTGAAGATATCTGCCTACATCTGTATTTCAGAGCCTCAGATTTGTTTTCTTGTTGCTCAGAACTACCAGAAAACTACAAACAACAAATCCCAGCTGGGTGCAAAGGTGGAGGCCTGCGTGTGCTTCATTTCATGCATCAGCAAATGTTTCTGGCAGTAATTACTGAATTCCACCAGAACAGCTTACTGTTCTTTTCTGCTCACGTCTAAAACAGTTCCCCACTTGTTTTTCCTGCAGGGGGGTTCACCAGGCCCATCCTTAGCAGAAGTTATGCTGGCAAGGCGCAGACATTGTCATGCTGCCCTCACTTGCTTTTGCTCCACTGAAGAGTTCAAAGAGACATGTTATCTAACCAAACACAATCCTTTTTCTTCTGTCTTTTAATGGTGCTCCTGTTCTGAAGCCATGCAGTGCTTTACTTCTTGTAGGCACTGCAGATGTTACTGCTTGATGGGGTTGCTCCCCACGTTTGTTACGTACTTCAGTGAGCTGTGGAACAGCGTGTCTGAATCCTAAGCTCCACTACATTAAGATTAAATACGTTTTTCTCACACAGCAAACTTCAGAGAGGTAATTTACCAAGCTGACTGATAGTCTGAAACGGGTGGAGCTGTAACTGAGCATCTCATCACATCCCTCTGGCTCTGTTGTACTTCTGTGCAGTGATTTCCCATACACGGCTGCTGCATTGTTGGAATTCTGTACCTCACTGGCTTATAACATGTTTAAACAGTTGTGTCTGGCTGTGTTGCCTGTTATTTTAGTTCAGAACTTGTTGCAGTTGGAGCAGCAGAAGAGATTCACTTCTTTTCTCCTTCCCTTTACCAGTGGGGGATGGCATTCAATATGTTTTCGTCCATTACCAAACACTTGTAATGAATATTTTACAGGTGTTACTCAATATTCATTTATGACAGGTTTGTATTGGAGAGATTCAGCATTAGTCCTTAGGCCAATTGTGAGTATGAAGTGCCAGTATCTGAGGCATTACTTTTGTCTCATTTGAGACCAAAAAAGGAAGTCCATTTGCTGATGCCATTGCTGGCACTCAAGGAGGAAAGACAGGTAACCTGCAGCTGTGTCTCACAGCAGAACTGTGACCAAGCGTGCCACTGCTTTCATGTTGCACCTAAGCAGCAATGGCAAAGTTGGGTTAGGAAATGGGGAGATACTTAAGGGAAGGGGAGAAAAGGAAAAGGGAGATTGCTGCAAACAAGGTGGGAGGGGAACACCTTTAGGGAATGCATGGAAACCAGCAGATTTCTGTAGAGGAAATGTGCAGCTGAACCTGTAAAAGCCATGTTTGGCTTCTCTCCTGTAGCAGTTCACAAATAGAAAGTGGTAAAGTGCAGCAGAAATATTGCTGTTATTTTCTGAGTTTAAGGAAAAATGAAAACACAGTTGCGATTGTATTCTTATTAATATTTATAGATTGCATCCTCCAGATATTCTGTGTATAGTTAAGCAGGTGATAGGCTGATGTTACAGAGCTGTAATTTTGATACCTGTAATACCAGATCTTTATTAGCTGTGTGAAATAACGGGTGCACGTAGAATTGAATCCAGTTCCTGCTTTTTTACTTCTGAGCAAACATCTCATCCAAGCGACTTAGCACATCAGTGGGAGTTCTGTTTTCCCAGCTACTCATGTAATCCTCCATGTGAACTGACGCATGGAAAGCACTGAAGTTAAAACAGGTCACCTAAAACAAGTGCTCTTCTCTTTTGTGCTCTCCAGTTACCATCTCAGACAGGAGTTGTCTCAGCTTCTTAGTACTAAGCGGCAGCGCAAAGAAGATGAAGACAAATGGAGACAAGAGACAGCTGCCTTCCTCATTCAAGTTGCTTGGAAGAAACAGCTGAACCATAGCCCTCAGAAATCAGTTCCTCCATGTAAAAGCCTGAAATCTGTAAACAAAACCAGCTCAGCCATAAAAACAAGCAAGCAGTCCATCCTCAAGCAGATCTATGGTAATTTTGTTTTCACTATACTTTGGTTTTAAAAAGCACTGGATTAATTTGATAACAAAGTGTTCCTTATATTTTGAATTCTTGGGTACGTTTTCTACTCAATTGTTATGGATTAAAACCATTTATAACATCTAGTCTGAAATCTCAAGCGTTCTGGATAATTCTATAACCATTTCAGATGGAAAGAAATACTTTGGCGATTTAAAACAGTTTCTTCTAAAGCTGTTTGAATCACCATATCATTATTCCAGCACAGTTCTTCAGCCAACAAATCATTCCTTTGCCAGAGTTGCTCAAATGTATAAATGTGGAAAGAGAACAGAGCTGTTAAACTGGGGACAGGCGGCTGCATCGATGCACAGTGGCTGTCTGGAACGCAGCTGAACTTTTTAAACATTGCTTTCAACTTTTATTATACATACATATGTATATTTATATGTGTGTATCTTAAATATTCCCATCTGAAGAATATGATTGTGTTTGATATCGTTTACTTCCATGCTTGAAGACAGCTGATCTTCATTGGGACATCAAGGTGATCTGTAGCACTGCAGCGCACTGCACCAAGTCTGAATACGCACTCAGCCTCCAGTGCATGCTGAGGAAACAACAGAGGAAAGGCATTGTTTTTAAAGCACAAGTTCCTTACGCTGTGATCACCAATGCTCTGTGTACCTTAACAGGTGGCAACTCATGCTTATCATGGCTCTGTAGTTTAGATAGCTTTATTTCATCACAGCTATCTTTTTTGGCAAGCACTTAACGTTCCTTCTTTTACACAGCAAGACATCATCAACGTTTGCTTAAAGTTCTGCTAAAGTTGTAACAGTTTTCTGTCATGCAAAATGTCTTACGAGTTTCCTCATCATAAATGAGAATATTTGAGGATAAAATAATGCTGTAGCCTCTTTAAATAATTAATAGCTGTCCATAGCCATATTTCTACATGAATAAACACCGAGCTGTTGGTGCTGTTTATTAAAGGGCGTTCTCAGGAAGGCAGAGTGTACCAGCCAGCCAGACCTCCCTCTAAGCTGAAACTTTCTGATGTGCAGCTGGTTTCAGGTAAGACACACTCTAACAATACTGGGAATAGAGCAAATGCCTTTAATGTTTTATATATATGTGCATGTCATTGGGTTTCTCTTAGAAAAAGAGGAAAAAAGACCCAACTCATCAAGAGCTGGGATCGAAGATCAAGAGATGTAACTATTACCAACCTGTTGTATGTTCTTTTGATACTTTTGGACCGACTGAGCAATGTGCTTTTATCCTAACCCTGAATCATCTATATGAAAGCTTATTTTGATTGGACTATTACTTGGAAAGATCTTAAAATCATGGATTTCTACAGAGATAAGCTACTCACCTTTGGTTAAAATCCCTTATGGATGCTCGTACTGTGATTCATTAGTGTAAATATTTACCTATAGAAGTAGTGGATTTCTACATGTACCAACTATTTAGACCTGTTTGTGCTTTAGTCACAGACTCATAGGATGGCCTGGGTTGAAAAGGACCATAATGATCATCTTGTTTCAACCCCCCTGCTATGTGCCAGTGTTGCCAACTACTCGACCAGGCTGCCCTAGTGCATGGATAAAATGGGAAAATCCAAAGTAATCTGATCTCTGCCCTTTCTTCTAAGACAGTGCAATGGTGCTCCTGTCCTGTGTGCAGAGCTCCAATCAGTTCATAGAACATTATGTGCACTAAGTTTTAGGGCTCTGAAGCAAGCCTGCATTACTCCACTGCTTAGCAGTGAGGCCATATATTATTGCCAGGTTTTTCCTGGGAAATCTTCTGTTCCCTTTGTAAATAAGTGAAATTTTGTGCGTGGAAATGGTACCAGAGCAGCAGTTTTCAGACAAGGCACTGAGAGTTGCTGTGATGGGGACTGTCATGACATGCAGCCAGAGATGGTGCTACAGTGCATTGTACAGAACAGCAGCCAGAAACAGAGATGTAGGAGTGTCATCAAGGTCAGTAAAGTCCAGAAGTTTAATGCATGGGGCAGTAGTTTGACAGATAACTTAAAAATGAGGTTAGAATACACAATTCTCCTAGTACTCCTTCAAGTGAGTAACTTTTTTTGAGACTATTTCAAGTGTACACAGTTAGGGCTGGGAGCTGTGTAACATTAGTCCTTCATCACGTGAACAGCCTCTTTCTTTAGTCTTGGCTGCATCCCACGTAGTTCAGAGCTCACAGGCTGAGAGGAAAAAAAGAAATCCTTCAAAGAGACAATAGTTCAGATAAGGTGCACTGGAAAGTAAAATCAGTTTTCCCACTGGTTTACTAAATTCTGAAGTCAAAAGGAAATGCAGCAGCAGCCCTAGCCTTGAATTTGTTAGAATTGTAGGTGAATTTCTGCCTTGGTGAAAGACAGAGACTTCTTTCTTCCAGTATTTGAAATAACTGTTTTAATTAAGAGGCATGACCAGACGTGTTTGATTGCCACCTCTTCATACAGACACCAATCTACATTTTAAAAGAGTTTTAGCAAATAAAGCAGCTCTTCATTGAACTTTCTAGGACAACGGGTCTCCCTGTCTTCTGAAATGAAAAGGCTGTCTTGTGAGGTTTGCCCATCCTTTACTTTCATAACGTGGTGACGAATAGGACAGTGATAGGAACTTTGCCCAGTTCCTTCAGAACACTACCTACTTTGATTCACCTAATAGGAGCTGGGGGAACTTTAGCCCTTCCTTAAAGACAATAACACGTTTTTCATCTGCCTGCCTTCATGCATGACAACGTTACGTTCATTGGAAAAGTTCAGAGCTGTCAGTGGCTAATGCCAGATACTCTGCTGCTGACGTAGGTGCCTGGAGTAGGTCAGCATGGACTGCTCAGTTTGATTCTTCTCCTCAGTGGAAGGTGCAGCTGGGAAGGTGAAAACTGACTATCAGCACTAGTTTTCACTTTCGTCTAGCTGCTGGAAAAAGCATGCTGTGACAAATGTCCAACGGGAGACTGACACCAAACTCACTGAACTTCTCAGCAAAAGCAACCTCAGCGCTGCAGAGTGGGGACACGTACATAGGAGGTAGCAAAAGGAAATACAGGGAGTTAAGGGGCAGGGGAGCCACGAAAGGATGACAGGGAGAAAAGAAGGAAACACAACCCCTCGCTGCTCTTCAGCCACCTCAGCCAAGAGCTTTAGGAAGTGACTGAGCCATCAGCCTGAAAGCGCTCCTTCGTTTATGAGAGTGAAACTTCAGCTCCATTATTGTGGGTTGTGCTGAACACACAGCCATGTTAAAGTTGTGCTGAGTGCCACGGAAACAGAACTACTTACAGGTAAGAATGAGATGTCAGGAACAAGGTGCTGTATTGCTGGTAGGTTCTTTGTTTATGAAATGCAGAATCAGCGAGGATTAAACTTTTCTCATTTGGAATAATTCCTCAAAACTGTTGTGTTCTTTTACAGTGAACAACCTGCAGTATGTTCATCTGCTGGAGAACGTGGGAAAGTCAAAGCAGTTTTCATATAACATGAGGCCGAGCACTGCTGCAAAATCCAAAACTCCAAGACTCGAAAACTAAGCGGACATTTGGGATTTAAGGAGCATTCTGGTACAAATGTAACTTTTCATCACCTGCAAGCCATCTACAACATTTTAAACTTGAACACATTTCCAGTTTTTTTATTACATGCCAAGCAGGCTGCTAGGGAGCCGGACTTGTTTGTTTTGTGTACAAATTTGTCTTTAAATTCTAATTTATTTACTGACACATGAAATCTGAACTGCATTTGGAAGCAGACAATTAAGTGCTAAGCCCAGCACTGTGCTGCAATGGTTCACAAACATTTACATTGTGGAATCAGGAATTTTGAGTATGTGCTCATTAAATGCAATTGCAAAGGAGAGTACTGGGGCTGTAACAGTAACTGCTGTTTGGTTTCACCTCAAAATTTACTAAATGTATCTCAAAATCTAAACAAGAAAGGAGGCATAACCTTTATGTTCCATTTCTGTACTAAAGAACAGGTAATTTCTCAACCTGTTTTGGGGATTTGAAAGGAAAGGAAAAATGTTGACAAAGAAATCACTCCGCGAGTAAATTTCTTTCCACAGCACATGGAAAGTTAGCGGTGTTTTCTACCCTTTGAAATAATCCCGTTATTTATTCATTAAGAATTGTATTTTTATACACACACAGAATGAATTTCTACAGAAAGCAATATAGGGCAGGGCCTATGCTAGTAGGAAGCTTGTCTTTAGAGCAGTTGGAGCTGCTGCTGTACGGTATTTACTTTGCACCATGTCTTTAGAAACACAAATTTCTGAAATTAAAATCACGATTTTTTTAAAGTGGTGGACAGATAATTTTATTCTAGTTGCTGTCACATAATTCCAGTTCTTTAGTTGGATGGAGTCCACGAGTCTCTGCTTCCCTGGGAGCACTTAAGCCTCACAGAGGTCCCTTATCTGACCCTTCCCCGTGGTCCTTCTAGGAAACCCAACTTCCAGTGAAGCTGCAGTTTCATGCTTGAAAAGAAAGCTACAGGAGGGATGCAGCTCTTTGTAAAATTTTTATTCTGTTTCACTTACAAAAAAATGGACAAGCTTTGTTCCAACATCTCCCGTTCAAAACTAAATAGAAGTAAATGCTTTACAATAAATGCAGCTCCACCTCTTTAATACACTGCGTTCATAGGGCTGGGTCCCTGGGGGTGAGAGGCCAGGTAGATGTTGAAGCAGTAATGGAGGTCCGTCAGCCACTGCTCTTGGACTTCGCCGCTCTTCAGGGTCTAAAAAATAAGGGGGGGAGGGGGGAATTCAGCAACAGCATTTGTGAAGCTTTGCTTTGTTCTTAGTGAAGCAGGTGCTCTGCTAACGACACCCAATGGCCTCATTCACTGGCATGCAGTGACAATTCTCTCTTAGTCTGTATGTTTAAACACGGTACATCTGTTAGTGCTGAAATAATAAAGTGTCATTATTTGGTATGTTAAGATTGTGTTACATTATGGAGTGTGTGAATTCTATCAGATGCAACTTTTTCAGTTCTACTGTAATACTCACCCAAGGAGTGCCACTGTCCACAGCCCACGGGCACTAACTCATCCTCCTCAGCATTTCTCAGTGGTTAAAAACAGAAACAAAACCACAACCCAGCCACAGCCACACATCCCCAAAGCAGGCTGAAGCCTTTCCAGCACTGTAGGAAGCCAACGACATATTTTCCACTGGAGAACTTGTTTGATAGACTTACATCTTGTTCTCCACCCCCCCCGAGGTTAAGTTTGGGATGACATTATAAAATGATTACGGCATTGTACTTATTCAAGTCTGGGGACCATACAAACTCCCTGCACCCAGAACTAGTCATAGATGTGTGCAAGACGACAGCTTCTGATCTGTTTCCCGAGAAGCAGATGTAATAATCTCAAAAGCTCTGACAAGTGCATGTGTGACTACAATGCTGGATTCTGCAATAGCTGCACATTTTAACACTTCTACCGTTTGTCTCTCCAGGGACCTGCACACTTGAGAGAGAGAAGATATTTCCCACCAGCACATATACTGGGACAGCTCCCCACCCAGCTGTGGCATGCTGCGCCTCATCCCCTTCCTGGGCACTTTGTTTCAAAACTTAGCTTTGAAATTCAGCCCAGGGGTCCTGGACAGCATTTGGCTCTGTGACAGTCTCGTTTGAGCAAAACACAACTCACATTTCACCGAGCGTAGGGTTTGCAGTCACTGTTCAACATAAACACAAAGTATATTCTTGTGGTCTCTGGCAGACAAGAACAGGTTTCCTACCATGATGTCCTTGATAATCTGCTGCACCAGGAATTCATTGGTCATCATATGGCTCCTGAGCTGACCGTGTTGCATCAGTAAGCGAAGCAGCTGAGCAACAACGGGCAGCTCCTCGCGGCAGATCCTGCTCACTTGCAGACTTTGCAGCATCAGCCTCAGCAGCCGTGGCAGGAGTGCTAATGCAGAAATGCACGATCCCCACAGCATATCCCTGGGAAGAAAAGAGAATGAAAATTGAAGTGATCAGGGCAGCTCATTTCAGACACGCTTCTGTGGCCGATGTCTTGTATTTGTACCAGGAAAAGCACCCCTGTGTTGATGCCAGTTGGCACGACTGCATTTGCAATTAGTGCTGAAGCAGAAAATTTGTAGTGGCAAATGTTACACTCAAAAACATTGTAAGCTGATGGAAAAAATTTAAGGTCCTGCCCTGGAGCTTCAAATGTTGCTGAAGCCCTCACACGGTGTGACTTCTGCTCGAAGCAGTGGGGAAGAAGGGTTCTTCTTTCAGCTGTAATTCAAATACATCTGAACCTCTTGAATCTTTAAGGCTCAAAACAAATACAGAAAAACACAATCAGTGCTTTGTAACATGTAACATGTACATGGTAAGAGAAGGAGGAGTCTTCCTAAGCAAACTCTGATCAACCTTCCTGTATGTGGAACAGTTGTAAGAAAAAAAAAAAAAAATCAAAGTTTCAACTGCTTAAAGACATTTCTGCTTTACTGGTAAATAAACTGATCCTGGGTGGCTGTGGCTGTTTGATTCCCAGAAAGTGTTGTTAAAGCTGAAACACCAAGTTAGGTACACACTTACAGAGCCAAATCCTCTGTGTGCTGCTTTTCAGCTTATCTAATGAAACCAGAGGGTAAGGCTACACATTAAGGTGCAAGTATCTGCATTTCTGGGGTCAGGGGGGTTCCGAAATCCCACAGCTGCAGTAAGCAAAAGCTTTAAGATGAAACCTTCTGTAGCTGTTGTTTTAAATTATTACAGCTAACACTGCAGATGTTCTTAAACTAAAGGACAAAATAAACTGCAGTCGGAGGGGTTTGCCCTCTGTCTTACATCTCTAAATATCTGTGCTTACAGAGAATTCATATAGTATGAAAGGCAGCATTACCTTTTCTGTACGTGTTCTGCATCCTCTTTGTCCAGAGTTAGCAGGAAGTACAGGAGGCTGTAACAACAGGAGGCTAAGAACTTGTGCAGATTTTCACTCAAGATGCAAGCTTGATCCAAGAGCTTATTTATGGCACACAGAACAGATCCAGCTGTGCTATCAGGTATTACAACCAATCCAACCTGGATTAAAACAAAAACCCTCAACTTCATTGCTCCATACAGAAGTTTTTGCTGTTACACAAACAATTCCAATGCCAAATGTGTCCTTTCATATGACAACAAACATTACTTTCTTTCTGTTCAAGAATAGATACTACTGCATTTAAAAACACCAAATCCTATCTTCCTTAGAAATTGACTCACACAGCAACAGAAGGTTAAAAAGTATTTCAGCCTAAGCATTCCCTGCCTGCTAAAGAAGGCATTACCACTTCCAGTATATTTTTCAGAGAAGTGCAAAGTGAAAAGGCCTCACATTGATAGTCCTCTAGCCTACAAAACATGGGGTTTGGAAGCATCCATCGATTCTCAAAGTCCCTGTGCTGCACGGGGCTTTCAGAACAGAACCTGCTTTTTGTGTATTTGATGTTGCAAGTTGGGAAAAGAGGACAAAAAATCTAGAAGCAAATTTGCAAGACTAGATGTATGTTGTCCTCTGAGCATCAGTACTGAAACAGACCACCATTAGTGCAAAAGTTCTAAGGAATTTCTCCGGCTCTTAAACCACTGCCTTTCAGATAAAAATACAAGCAGGCAGCTAACAGCAGCTATAAACAGTGAAGGAGACAAGAGTCTTAATCCCACTCCCTCTAAATAAAGACAACATTCATCCCCAATGTATTTAAAAGAAAACAAAGCTTTAAGCCTTCCTCTGGAGGACCGTACAGACACAAAAAGCAGTTTTCAGACAAAACAGGTCTTTCCTTTTGAACACATATCATGGGACAGAGCATCCCTTCTGTGTCTTGAAACACCAGTAAGCCACCACTGAGGTAGAAGGAAACTCAGACTTAACTCTCCAGAAAGAAAAAGCACCCAGTACTCATCAGGACTGGTCTCTGAAATGCAATGTGCTCGACAGGGATGAGAGCACTACAGAATCACAGGATGGCCTGGGCTGGAAGAGACCTCAAAGTCCACCCATCCCCAAGCCCCTGCTGTGGGCAGGGCTGCCCCCCACCAGCTCAGCTGAATTTGAGGGTTACAGAGACAATTACAAGATTTATCACAAGCAAGCTAAGATGGAAAACAAAATATGACTTACCAGGTATTTACAGATGCCGGTCTGGAGAATGTCAAAGCACTGACTTTGGGAAGGTATAGTGGACAAGCTGTGACAGATCACCTGTTTTAATAAAGCAGTTATATTTAAGCACTTAAAAATACATACAAATAGCACAACTAGCAACCATTCACTGCACAATTCCAGATTTTGCTGACAGACCTAAATACAAAGTACCTATGAGGACATGGCAGCTTTGTCTTTAAAGGTACTGGTTCTTGGCAGTGTATCAGAGTAACACTGTCAGCATAAATTACTCTGTGTTTAATGAGAGGATGACCTGCGCCACTGGTTCTGTGGTAGTGGCTTTCTTCCATTTACCTCTGTGAATGAAGTAGAAAGGCAAAAACACTCGACCCAGCTACAATGCCACAGCAAGGCTACACCCTGCCTGCCTCTGAGAGGAAGACATTCAGAAAATAGAGAGACCACAGATACCATTAACAAGCACAGAATAGAAAAATGGCCACAAAAAGGACAGGAAAGAAAAGAAAAAAAACAGGAGGTAGCAAAGATCCATTTGCTACTACTTTTCTTCTACACTGCCACTAATGTGATGGTCAAAGTTGATACAAAATGAAATAGTATAAAGAGAAATCTTGTTTTATGACCTGCCAACTTTCTGGTGCTTGTGCAGCCAGGCGTGAGCATGAGATGTGCAGGAGCGTGACAGCAAAAGCTTAAGAAAGAGGTGAACTGAAGGCTCGGGCCTTTCAAAGTCTAGAACAACAGCAATGGTTTCAGTTCACAAGAGCTCCTGGCAAACCCAGAGACTACTGCCTTATTTATTTTCTTCTTCCTACTGTAATTAAAAAAACAACATCATCGTTATGTAGGCGAGAGTGGCCATGTTGGGGATGGAAATTAAAAAATAAAATCAACAAGTAGAACAAGACCACATGAAATACAGTGCAACCCTGTGAAAGATAAAGAGAGATGTTCCAGAAGCTCAAGCAACTTGTCCTGCTGCAGTCCTGGGCAGATCATATTCTCTGTTCCTCTCTTCCTTCCCAACTACTCCATTTGTGATCCATTCAAAGCATTACAAAGTAATGCCTTTTGCAAATCTACTGTATCTACTCTTTCAAAGGGTGAGGCTCTCCTTAGCTACCGCAAGGACCTAAAAACATTTGCATTTCTGCAGTGTCAAGGAACGAAGACAGGAGGTTACGAAACAGAGGCTTGTCAAGGGCAAACTGATGCCAGCATGACCTCATATTTGAACGAGCAGCACTTGCACAAAAGGTAAAATGGCACTGATGAAATGTGTTGGCTGACAGCTCAAGGTTGAGAACACCGAGATAGGAAGATGGGACTAACCTATAAGATTGCATGAGTCTCCTGATTAACAGAGAAAAAATATGTCAGTGAAACATAAGGTAAAAGTCACGCTCCTGGAGACTTCAAAACTGTATGCAATGCGGACCTGTAACAATTGGAAACAAGGAGAAAGATCCATGCATAGCCAATCACAGAGTGATTGAGATACAACCACAAAACAAGCAAATACAGCATCAGGATGCAAAAATGAGAATGACCAGAGCAGAGGGGGTCAGTGCTGCTGAACAGAAGTACAGTACTACTCTGTAAGACCCCACACGCACCATTCCTGAAATACCACGCAACACAGGAGGCACTCCTCTTCAAGAAAGGTAAACTTAAACTGAACGGGCACAGAAAAACTGCAGAGAATGGAGATTCTATCTTAGAAATCTAGATGGAAAGGACTTCACCTGCTCAGGCTGGCAAAGCTACAGCTAAGCAGGTATGCCAGTGCTCCTTAAAACGCAACAGAGGTGAGAACTGATGTGGGAGCACAAACGTATCCAAACAGCAGCGCCAATGACAATGATCCTGTCCGACAGGCAGTAAGGTGGGTTGAAAATTAGGAAGGATTGTGAAAGACTTACAGGAGGGAGCACAGGAGACTTTTGCAGCTTGTAAGAGAGCTCAGCGAGTTTACACAAGTGCGTGATATGCTCCTGGCCACATAACACTAGACATAACTGTGGAGATCCCTTGTAATTCAATACTTGACCACATAAAGTCAACAAATTAATGACAAAGAGGGCAGATCCACCAAACCTATCCACCAAAGTGTGGCTCATTATTAATAAATTTTAGTATTCTAATTAAATGATTACATAATTTATTATTAATAATAAACTACTGAAAATTCATCCTTATGCCCTTGGAAAAGCTCCAGCAACACACAAAGACTCTCCCTTAGATGACAAGTTACAGAAGAACTTCAAAAGAAGTACAATTTACTGAGACTCGAGATTTCTTCAGAACCGAAGAAGGAAATTGGCCACTGCAGCACTGAGCAGCAGCATATCTACTTGTAAGGGTTGTGGTGAAGTGCACAATGTCTGGCAAGTTTACTTTACAACTTTTTGAATCCTCCTGACCCTCAAAATAGCAGTAATACTCCCTAGAGCCAGCTCTATTTTCATATGATTAAGCAGGAGTGGTAATCCTTTTCAATTCTATAAATTAAATCCTGCTTGAAATGGCTTTCATGACAAACGTCTGTTACAAAAAGTGAAACTGAAACGCTGTTAGACATGGAAATGAAAAGCAAAGAAAAATTAATTATCACTTGAAAATTAGTATTTTTCCTGACAATTTATTTTCCTTAGGCAAGGGTTTGCATGACGTTTAATTTCCATAATAAAATGTCACAGCTGATTCGTTATTTTACATTTGATTAGCATTTATCACATTTTTGGCGCATTCACAGATGAGTTTTGGACTAAAGCCAGAGCAATTTTGTTTCAGAGTATCACCAAAGCGAATGGACAGAGGAGCATTTTTTGACCATAGAAGTCTTTACGCCTTTTTAAGATGGGTATCTAACGACAGGTTCGGTTTCATTCTTTGGGTTTGGTTCTTCATTTTGTTTGAATGTCCCATTTTGTGTAAATTAAGCCAAAAAAAGCCCAAACCATCCAGTTTAATATTGCTCATCTGTAAGACACTCTTAACTCCAAATGGCGGAGTTAGGAGGAACCCCCAAACTCAAAGTGAGCCCTCATGGCAGAAGGACAAGTGACGAGCCGAGAGCCACGTCCCGTTCATATGTTTCACTGCTCCCGCTCCCTACATCGCTCCATTTCCATAATGTGAGAGATTCTGTGCTGAAAAAGCCTCAAGGGAAACATTTTATCAGTAACTGTCCAGTGAAAAAAGAAATGTGTTATTACTTCCAGCTTAATCACGCTGCCAAGTATTCTCTTTTTCACAGAAAAATCCAAGCTTTCTGCTGAAGACATGCACACGGAGAGGAACCCAGCAGGCAGAAGGAATAACCCCTGTGTGCAGTCAGACCCACAGACAGCCCAG